TACTGTATTTATTCTAATAAATAGAATGGACGTCATTCTATTTTTCAATACCTCCAAAAAAGGGCCAGTCAAATATAGGCAGCCATTCTATTTTTCATAGGTCATTTAAATGAAGGGGTCATTCAAAATATAGGGGTCATATGTATATACTCAAAATCACTTTTAAAATATTTTTAATTGCAGCAGAATTTTTAGGCAATATCATTTAATTTTTTGCAGATCTTTTTAAAAGAAGCCTCCTCCCTCTTTTAATATTAAATCATCTTTCCATTTCCAAAAATTCAAATTTAAAAATAAAATTTTCCTTTCATAAAATCCTATTTATTATTAAATTTTATTCTCTTCCATATACATACTTCCTCTATTTTTCCCTTCAATTTCACTTCAAAATTCAAAAATCATTTTATAAAATACTCGTCATTTTAAAATTTAAATTGATATAAAAACTTCTCTTTAGTAAAATTTCAAAAAAAAATTTTTTTTTCCTTTTTTCTTCCCCAATTTCCGTTACTTTTCCTTTTTTATATTTTTTGTAATATTTTACAACGTGACATTTTTTGGTGAAAATGATGTGGGGAGTAGTGATAGATTGTAAAAAGTAGTTACTAGTATGTTCTTTAATTTCGTTCTTTCATCTTTTTTCCCGAATTTTACGGAAATATTAAATTTAAAATAAAAAAAGGGGGGTATCTCTCCTCCTTTATTGTACTTACCTAAATTATTTACATTTTTTTGGATTTTTATTTTTTTAACGGAAATCTAAAAATTAGAAATTAAATTTACATATTTAGAATACTAATTTTTTAATTTTAATTTTATTTAAAATTTAATTAAATTTATTTCCTTTTTTATAAAAAAGATGGAATTCCCAATCGGAAGTTCCTTGACAAGGTTAAACTTTATTTAACGGAAAGGTGGGCAGGTCATTTAAAGTGGGCTGTCGAAAAACTGTAACCTGAAACTCTCGAACAGTTCTAATCTTTTTAAAATCTTGGCTTCTGAATAGCTAGAGCTAGCTCTTGGAGTCATACCCATGACTATGGTATCGAACCTCGAATACTCTTGTTGGGTATCTCTTGCATTCAATCAAACTATACTACATGTAGAGATTAAATAATTTTAGAATTTATACATATCTCCTCTACCGAGGACAAATTTTAGAGGAATTTCATAATTTTTGTCTATATTTTATAATTAAATTTACAAGTTTTTCCAACCAAAAGTCATTATATAATAGTCTCCTCTTTATTTCATTATTCGCAAAAATTTCCCGTCTTTTTCCATTCATTTTTGGGGTGGACTTTAATTCTTTTTCCTTCAAAAATGTGATGAAATCAAAGAAAAAATGAGATTTCCACACATTTTTTCTTTCCTTTTTTTCAATTTTGCAAAAGTTTTTGATGGGTGGCCCCAGACAGATAATTCAAAAAAGAAAATTTTTTTCAACGGAAGGAGTGGGCCTCTGAAATGAAGAAAGGTTTAATGGTTTAATGGAGGAAAGGAATGAATATTTTTTGAGAGACATTAAAAAAACATTTAAAAAAACTAAAGGGAAAATCCCATTTTTGGCATATTTAAATTTGAGAAGTAAAGTGGATATCTTTTTAAAAAGACTTGAAAAAAACCCCCTAAAAAGAGGTATATTTCTGGATATAAAATGACAAAAATAAAATTCCCATTTTTGGGCATTTCACTCCTTTTTTAAATTGAATGATGAGTGATGTGAGAAGGCGCCGTCGGCTCTTTTTTCCTTTTTAAACACCAAAAACTTGTCATTAAACCCTCATTATTATATTTCATTATATTTTAGGCAAAATGGTGATAAAATTTATTGTTAAACAATTAAAAGCATCATAGGTTATCAAAATGGCGTGTCGTTTATGACTTTCCTTTACTAAATTTAAATTAGAGACTTTTTTGCAATTCTTTACACGTTTCTATTTGGCAAATAGTCAAAGGGGCTTTTTGGAATATTTATTTATTATTTTTTATTTTTTTCCGTTTTTTCCTGATTATTCTTTAATTTGTTTGTTTTTTAAGTTTTTATTATTAATTTATGACTACCGACTTTTGATGCCCCGACTGTTTGAGAATAACATCATTTTTAAAATTAATTTTTAAGGGTATTTTTAATTGCAAAAAATTAAGCTTTAAATCAGGCTTGGTAATGGAGACGGATTTTGGTATTCGTATCCGGATATATCCTTAAGGTCATATCCATATCCACGTATATCTGTGCAACTTTTGAGTCATATCCGCGGATATCCGGATATTATCCGTATCCATTACCAAGCCTGCTTTAAAATATCCTCATTTTAAAGCAAGGAACTTCAAAATGCGTTAACGTCTGGTAATGTTAATGTAACTCTAATATCCTTCATAACAGCAGTTTTTAGCGCATAACTTTACTTTGTTTCCATAATTTTTTTTCAAACTTTATATTATTTTTAGGATAATTATTAGCTTGTTTTATTAAACTTAGATGCTTTCTTATATTCATTTTATCACTGATTCATGCTTAATTTAATGTTAATTATCCTTAAAAGTTGCCCATATTTACAATTTGAATTTTTTTATTCTAAACTAAGTTATATCTGTAGTTTCTGCTAGTATTTTCTTTTGGATTAATTCAAAATTTATTCTGATTTTGCTTAGAATACTCTTTTCTTTAATTTTATTTTTTCTGATCTTCTCTTTACATTTCTCTGATTTTCCCTTATTTTTTTCATTTTATCCTTCGTGTAACTAAATATTTGTTTATCCACACATTGATACTTCACTTTTTCACCTTTAAGCCCTAATTTTTGAGATATTAAAATATTTATTACATTAATATAAATTGCCACATTTTTGCTTTAATTTAAATAAAGTGCAAAATAAAATTCTGAATTAAAAACACTCTGAGCTATTTTTAAATTATTTTAAGAAGATTTAGAGAGATTTTGTTATTTTAATATTTACATATTTTTATAGAAAAATAATTTAACGGATTTACCAAAACATATTTTAATGTGAAGATTTTTTGATACACAAAAATGTAAATTTTAGGCTTGACGGAATAATAGGGATCCTTAAAGGGATCCTTAAAAATAAAGGGGTCTTTCTCGAATTTACTGAAATTTTTTGGAATATATTAGTAAATCCTGGTCGATCTGATCTATTATAGTTAGGTATGCTGGCTTTAACTTTAGAAGAAAATCATGCTAATTCTCAATAGCGGCATGTCCCAAGGATCTTGGTTCTGTGCTTCGGTTTTATTCTGGATTACCAAAGAACCATAGGAAAAGGATCAAACAGTTTAACAAAAACAGCCTTTCCTCTGATTAATGTTTTGCTTTACTTTACCCTCCGATTACTCTAAAAATTATTTCAAAAAATTTTCTTTTCTCTTCTCCATACTCCAATGTCCCCTTTTTATTTTAAAAACTCCGCCCTTAATTTTCATATTCAAATAGTTTTGAAGCTCCGCCCCTTTTAACCTTTTTCTTCTTTATAATGAGGGAATATATAATATGGAGAAGTTTTTGTATGAGACAAAAAAATGGGGCGGGTGTGTGTGCTTTAAATACAAAATCTGCGCGAAAGCCTTTAATATAAAATGGACACATTTAGGCTATTTCTCCCTGTTCATACAAACAATTACAACGCAGCTAAATAAATAAAATATATTTTTATTTTCTCCAATTTTAGTTATCTTAATAGGTATTTCAATTAATAATAACCTCTATTCTATATTTATATATACCTCTATTTAACATACATACCTCAAGGGCTGACCAATATTTTATTCGAGAATGGGGTTCAAAATTTTTGAATAAACGTGTCTAATTTTTATTGAATAGATTCCTTCATGTAGTCATCTAAAATAGAGACGGACTGGGAGAACCAAGATCTCGATAAATCTCGATTCGCGATAACCGAAATTTTCCATCGAGATCTCGTCTCGGTCCGGTCTCTAATCCAAAACACACTACTAATCTATATTTTATTTTGAAGTATTTATGAATGGGCTGTAATTTAAATTGGGCTTAATATATAAGTATAATCGAATCTCGATATCATGCCCGTCGAGAACGTCTTATAGGACGCTCTCTTCGTCATGATGTTTCTTCAGGCTTATAGAACGCTCTCTTTTTTATTGAGATATCCACAACTCGTTGTCCAACCCTAAATCCTTTAAGAAAAGGATTTAGGAATTATCTATTTACTTACTAAGTTCATAAAATAATTTAATAAACATTTTATTCATTTAAATAATTAACAGTAAAGGAAAATATTTTTTAATCTTTATTAACGTATAATATTTATTTACAAATTTAATTAAGCAAATGTTAAAATCTTATTATATTTTATCAAATATTTTTAAACAAAAAATTGTTTACAAATATTGCAATAAACTTCCCAAATTTATTTTTAACAAATTAATTTATTAAAATAAATTACAAAAAAAATTTTCTGGGCACATTTTTAATGGCAAAAAAATTTAGAATAAAAAAATAATTTTTTGACAAGAATGCGCGAGAGGAAAAAACATCAATCATTCATCTCTAATTTAATTGAAAAAATATTTAACTTGAGAATATTTAATATTTATTCTCCATTTCCTTGTGATTTTCAGCCTTGGGCAAAAACTTTTTAACAAGAAACTTTGTTCAGTTTTTAATTTTAGCGTTTTTAGGGTTAAATTCCAATTTCTAAAAATTATTTTGGCTCAGATTTTCGAGTAAATTATTTCCAGACTAGGACATGGATACGGATATAGATACAGATATTATAAAAATGCCTTCGGATATCCGTCTATATCCGCCTATCCGGATACGGATACCAAAATCAGTATCCGTGTCCTAGTCTGATTTTTTCTTCTTTTTCTTAATTTCTTCATGTACCCTTCTTCACTTTTTTTGAATTTTTAAAATTTTCAAAATTAATTTTCAATCATTATTTACCAAAAAATTTAAATTTTCTTTTTTTTCAGCTAATATTCAAAGTTAATAAAAAAATTCTCAAAATTTTTTAATATTTAATAATTCTCCAAATCAACAAAAAAAACAGATATCCTTAATAAAAATGACCAATACTTTTTTAAATCAACAAAACTTTTCTTCCTCTTCCCCCATGTGTCGGCTTTTCTTCCCTTTCATCTCCTCCACTTCTCCACCTATCAGTTCAACAACAGAAACAACAGAAAGGCAACAACAGCAAAATAACTGTCAGAAATCCTCCCGGCTAAATAGTCGGAGGAATTATTCTTCAAATTCGTCTCTTTTTGCAGCCATTTTCGCCTCTCTGTGCGTTTTTGCCGTCCATTTACCAGCAGTTGCTGGACTAGCTTGTTATGAAACTGTTAATGTAAGGAAATTTTTTTTTTTAAATTTTTAGGAAATTTTTTAAGATAACAATAATAATGATGCAAAAATTTTTAATTTTTTGCAAATTATTTTTAAAAATTGCTGGCGTTTATTTTCTCTCTTTTTTCTTAACAAATGTTTTTATTTCCTTGACAAAAAATAATCATCTTTTCTATCGCTTCAATGCAAATAAAAAAATTATTATTTTTAAATCTGCTTAATATTAATTATTTTATTTTTATTAAAAAATACAAAAATAATTTTTTCTGAGAGATTTACACAAATTATTTTTTTAATTAGAATACTCTCTTTTTTTAGGAAGGAATAAATTAAATACGTAAAACATTTTTTTGAAGGGGAGTGTAAAAAAACTTAATATAGAACACAAAGAACAATTTATTCTAAACATTTATAAAAACTTTTAGTTTTATAAAAAGATGCGCGCTAAATGTTCATAGAGCATTTAAGTATGCTAATTACTAAAAAAGTTTTATTTATAGCTTGTCTGTCTACCTAAATAAATTATTGTTGTCTCTCTTCTTTTTGTGTACTCTCTCTTCTTCTCCTCTCCTTATAATTAATTCAGACACATTTCCGGAAAAAGTTTCCGGAAATTTTGTATATATTCTCTTCCTCTGGACTTACATACTGCTAAAGTGGCGGAATCTAAATAAGGATACTATTTAAACGGGGAGGAGGGGGGTATTAAATAATTCCTTTAGTCGGGTCAGTCCCTAGTTAATCTGAAGGCCTCTCTCAGTTAAAATCCTAAAAAAGCTAAAAAAATCTAAAAAAAGGCTTAAAAATGCTAATAAATTATTGAGGCAAAAAAGGAAAAGAGAAAAATGATGTAAGGGAAAAAAATAATTTTTAAATAAAAATAAATTTATTTTTGAAGGGGGGGGGGGTAAGGGGGGCTATTTAAAAAAAATTTTTTTTATTTGGAAAAAATTTTTTATTTGGAAAAAATAATTTTAAAATCAAGTAAAATTCTATTTTTAGTCTTCTTTTCTTTCTTCTTCTTCTCTTTCCAATTCAATTATTTTTATATTACTTGTCATTTTACCTTTATATTTATTACGTTATTAGCTTTTTTACGCAAGCAATTATCTTAAAATAAAAAAAAATTTTTTTATAATTGTTCACTGCTCTAAATAATCCTTAAATAATTATTTCCTCTCCTTTTTTAGGGCAAAATCACAATTGTACAAAACGATGCTTGGCGCTATTGTGCCCTTGTACCTGCTACAATTGTTGGAAAAGAAATGGTCAACGGAAGTCAGTTTGGCATTGGGGCGGAGAATGACATGTTGGGAATGTATAATAATGCTTTTGCACTCAGTCAAGAAGAATATCGGATTTTGACAGTTTGCATTTATGAGGTGAATAATTGGGAATATTTGATGACGAATGGAAAATAACTAGAAAAATTACGAAAAAATAAAAATTTCAAAAATTTTGGTAATTTTTGAAAAAAAATTTCCAAAAAAAAATCTCAAAAATTTCCAAAAAAATTTCAAAAATTTTCAAAAAAATTTTTGTAAAAATTTTCAAAAAAAAATTTTTCAAAATTTTTCAAAAAATTTTTGAAAAATTTCTGAAAAATTTTTTCTAGGGTTCTCAAAAATTTTTTAAAAATTCACAAAAAAATATCCGCACCTCAATTCTAACTTTCCTTCTCATTTTAGCGCTACGATTTTAGCCGTTTCCTAACAATGATGAAGCCAGATATGGCTGTAGAATTTGCTTTTCGTTGTGTTTGCAATTATGATTTATGCAACAGCGAACCAACATTTTCTGCTTATTTATCAGCAATTAAATCAGAAAGTTTTGCGAGGAGATAATATATTTAATTAATTGATTATTTTATAATATATTTAATTAAAAACCCATTTTATTAATTTTTAATTGTCCCAATCATTCCTTTTTTTATTTTTATTTTTTTCTTTGTTTCCTTTTTTCTCATTCTTTTCTTGTGCATTTTTTTCCTTTAAATCTCCAAAGAATCACCTCTTTATTTTTTTACTTCATTTTCTTAATTATGCCGGAACTCTTATTGAACACCTCTATTTTATAGACACCCCTGTGGGAAATTTTGGGACGAATTGTCTCTTTTTTTGGCATAATGCCAAAACCCTCTATTTAATAGAAAACCTCTATTTTATGGACAATAGTGTCTATTACATAGAATAGAGTCTCTATACAGTTCCGACACAATTTAATTTTTAAATATTATAATTATTTGCTTAGGAAATCTATCGTTTGTTTAGTGCTCTTCCGAATCCGAAGAACGCTTCTTTTTAAAAAAGAATTTTTAAAATTAATGAAATTATATTTTATATATTATTTTTTGAATTTTTTGAATAAATTTATGAATAAAATAAAAATTTATTTTTTTGATGAGAATCAAGTGTTAAATTTTTTAAAAAATATTTTCTGGATTTTTAAAACGAAAATTAGAAAAAAATTATTTTTCATTAATTGGAGCTTAAATTTCCTCCATAACCTCTCTCTACTACATATTTAATTAACAATGTTAACACTTCTTTTCTTTAGATATTCTTTAGCTAAATATATTTATTAAATTTTTTAATCTTTCCCAATGGATGATCTCGTCTCTCTTTTCTCTACTATTAGTTATTTAGCTGTTTTTTGAAAAAATTTTTTTAAATAAAAAAATTTTAGCAAAATATTTTTTTTAGTTTTCTATCCATAAAATTAATCCTCGATATTTTCCCTTTTCTTTAAAATAAAAAAATATTTTTTTAATTAATTTGTTGTAAAATAATGAATAATTAATTATTATATATTTGCTCCTCGTTAATTAAATATATGTTTTTTTTGTTATTTTTATATATCACCTTTCTAATTTTGATTTTAATCTGTGAGCAAATTGAATTATGAATGAATAAATGAATGAAATTTTTGTTTTTTTCTTTATTTTTGTTTGATTGAGGAAGGAAGCTTGTCCTGTTTTTCGACCGGTGTTATTATCGTTTTAGAGTCGAAACGACGTTCGAAGCTATTTTGCTTCTTTCTGATTTATTTTCTAATATGAACATATTTAGGACCACGGTCTAATCTTTTCGACAGCTTGCTTAGAATCTTTTAAAAATTTTTATTAACTTCGTACCAGAGGTACGTTGGAACAGTCCGAGGTGTCGGAAATCGGAACTGGCTCAAAAAGTCGGAAAAGGAAATCAAAATTTTTTTCGGAAATCGGAAGGAAAAACGTCGTAAATCGGAATTCCGACCCATCTCTGCTTCGTACCTCGTATTAATACTTGGTATGAAGTGCGAATGCGAGCAAATCTAAAATTTCGAAGCATTGCTCACAATCCGTGTTGTTTCCCTACTTGGTAAATCATGTGGTGCCGAGACTTTTTGTTAGGATTATATAAAAATAGTAATATCACATGTCCTGAAACTCCACAAATTTTATATTTAAAATATCCCTTATTTATTATTAAAAGTTTATTTTGAACTTAAAAACAATTAATTTAATTGACATTAGAAAATAAACAAAAAATAAAAATAAATTAATTTTTATTAATTTGGAAGTATATACTAGAAAAATATTTAATATATTCTTAATTTAGTCATCTTTATTACAAAAAACTCCTTCTCTCCTATAAAAATATTTTTTTATTTAATTTATTAAAAATATTACTAAACGATCTCTAAAATAAAAATACATTTTTAAAGAGAAAAAATAATCAAAAAAGGACCTTTCTCATTAAATTAATAGAAAGATTTCTTCACGAAATTATCCGATTTAATGCAAAAAATTTTTTTTTAATTTTCTTGTTTTTTCTCTAAGTTTTCACGATTTTAATATTAAAAAAATATTTACATAAATTACTAATTTGGAAAATCCACAAATATAGAAAATACTAGAATATTTTTATTTTTGACGTCAAAATATTCTTTTTATTATTTTTATTATTTTTTCAAAAAATTTTTAAAATTTTTACGAATTAGAGAGGTAAATAAAAAAGAATAATTGGAGTACAACAAAAAAATATATAGAAGAATATTCTCTCAATGTATATTTTTTGGATTTCCTAGAGAAAATAAAATTATTTAATTGGAATAAATATGTTATTTTATATATGTAGTTGAATAAAATTTTAAAATTAAGTTACTAAATTAGTCTATTTTTGCCTGTATCGAGTGAAAAAAATTTTTTTAATCAAGTATTGAACTAATGTCTATTAAACTAAACTAATGTCTGGAAGAATTAGATTTTTAACTTCCTTTTTTCAAACCAATTAGAAGGTGTTATAGTAGGTTAATTAAATTTTTAAAAGTGTGCTATGGTGTTATCTTCCCACAAGTCCACAACTATTTGTCCGCAACGGTTACTCTTTGCCTTATCCTTTTTCTTTATCCTTAAGTAAAGATAAAACTGGGCAAGGATTAATAAATTTTCAAACCAATTAGAAGGTGTTATAGTAGGTGTTATAGTATTAATTAGAAGGTGTTATAACCAATTTATATATAACACCAATTAGAAGGTATAACACCAATTAGAAGGAGTTATAGTATTAATTACTTCATTATCATTTAATTTGTTTTCCGATTCGACATTTGCGGGCTTGTGGGGAGATAATATGAGGATGATTTATTTCGAGCAGTTAAAACGCTTATGCGAGGGTTAAGCGATCTAAAAGGACAAAAGAATAGCTCTACCGTAACTCAGTAGTATCACTGTAGCAGGCTCGAATCGTGGACGGTGGCTAAACTTTTGCTAGACTTCTTCTATAATATCATAGCAGTACCTTTTAAAATTATTTTTTGTTTGAAAAAAAATTAATTTACTATATTTATTTCGATAAAATAACTTTTTTTACATTTCCGATTTTTTCCCATAAAAATAAGAATAATCACAATAAATCAAACTAACTAAAATCACATTGTTTCTATAAAAATTTTCTTTTAACTAATTAATAAAATTAAAAATATTCTTCAAAAAAATTTTCTTGAAACTTTAATTTAAAAAATACAAAATTTATCTTAAACATGTGTTTATTTAATTAATATTTCCAAAAAAGGAAAATTTTGTTTAATAAAAATAAATATTCTTTGAAATTACTATTTTTGTTTAAATTGAAGACGTTACTACAAAATTTTGTAAATAAAAAATAATAATTAAAAATAATTTTTGGAAATTTTTAAAAATTCGGAGAATTAAGCAAAATTTTTATTTTATATTTACGAGAAAAAAATGAATTAAAAATTGTAGTAGAATATTTATCAAAAGCAAAGTTATGGTAGATTAACATGAACTATAAATTTAATCAGGAATAATTTCTAGGCAGTCTTAAGCTTCTCGATTTTTAATTTTTAATTCAGGCTCTCAATGAGTTAAATAATCATTTTATTGGATTGGATCGTGACTGACTGCTATACGTGCTAAAGATTAAATTTCGGGTTATTATTAATCATCGTCGAAGAATTTCCCAATTTTTAAAACAAAATTTTCGTCTTTCGGTAAAAAATTTTAGTATAAAAACCAGAATATTCAAAATCTCCACAAAATTTGTACCTTCAAGTTAAAGCATGTCAAAAATTGGTCAGCCGACGAAGACTCCAGATCTCTATGACAAGCCACCACCATCAGCAGCAGTAAACGATCAACTCTATGACCAGCCGCCAAAGGCCGCCGAAGTGAACTACGACGAAATAGCGCCAGGTCCGAAATGCAAAATCGAGGTTAGCAGTGGTGTAATGCTCGCTGATTATACTCCAAAAGAAAGTAAGTTTTGCAAGGAAGTTCAAGGGTGAAGAGTAATCTTAAATTTACAGTAAGGAAACCCACACCAAAAGCCGATGAAACTCAATTAAGTCAAGTAACGAGTGAGGTGTCAGCACACCAATTATGCGAATATGAGAAAGATGAGATCATTGGTAGTGAGATGATGTCGTTCATGGGAAGCGAACGTAAGTTTTGAGGAAAGTTTAAAATTGAGAGATAATTGTATTTTTACAGAAAATAAACGAAAGAAAATGCGACGTGGCAAATCTGTGGTTGGCGCTGAAACAAAGCTTCGGACTGCTTCTGGTAATCAAGCTTGAAATAACAACGCTTTTTTTAACTTCTTCATTTTTCAGCTCCCCCAAAACCGAAAAAGTGCGTGAAGGTAAAGAGCAAGTGTGGCATCGTATCTTCGGCTATTCTGACGCTTCTGACTCTTGTGCTTGCTATAGTCACTTCAATGGCGGCTTTTTGTCAATTAGAGGAGACGATTCCAGAAGAATATCCGTGGTTCTAAAAATGTTAATAAATATTCACTCATTATTGTTTTGTCGAGTTGTTGTATTTCTTTCGTTATATCTCAATTGTACATAAAATATAATTGACAGATTATATAAAATTGACAGATTATATAAAAAAACTTTTTAGTTTTATCAATTTACAGCTCCCCCAAATCCAAAAAAGAAGGTGTGTTCACTTCACTACTAAGCGTTCCAGAATTAGGTGGAAAAAATCGAATTTTTTGTATAATTTTTTGTATAATGTTAGTTATTGGCTATAGAAAGTAAGCTAGTGTTTTTTAGCGTTTTCTTCGCCTTCAATGCTTATCCACGTTAAGCTCACAACATGAAACTCAAAAATGATTCAAAAGCATTTGTTTCCAAAAAGCACTAACCAATTAGAAAGACTGAGCAGACTCCTTAAAATAAGTATATTTTCAAATTACTCATTAAAGCTTGAGCTAAAGAGTTACTCAACAACTCATACTTTTCAGTTTCAGCTCGTTAACTTCGGCGCGGGTGTTTGAAAGAATTTTAGGACTAAATTCTTGTATAAAAGCCAGAATAATCCAGATCATAAATCTCATTAGCAACCTATAAGTTGAAGCATGTCACAACATGATCAATCGCCGAAGGATGGGGAGCTCTATGATCAGCCACCACCAGCAGCGCCAGGGAAGCCAGAAGACAGCCAACTCTATGATCAACCGCCGCCAGCTGACGAAGGGGAGAAAAAAGAAAAACAACGAGCTTTGAAACCAGCTGAGAACAAAGGGGAATATGAGGTCATCTCTGAAGAAATGATATCATCGATCAAAGGGGCCAAACGTAAGTTTTGCGGAGAATCCTAATTATTGCAATTTATCTTTTCTTTTCCAGCAAAGAATAAGAAAGCGGGTAATCAAAAGGAAAAGCAGCATGGCAAGTCCGATACACCAAAGGGTCAGACTGCACCTGGTAATGAAATAACAATTAAATTCTCTTTTAATTTTATCATTTTTCAGCTCCGAAGAAACCCGCTAAGAAGAATGCTGATGTGGAACAAACGGTCAAAGCCCAACCAAAACCTCAGCCAAAACCGAAAAAGAAGGTGGTGGTAAAGAGCAAGTGTGGCATCATATCTTCGTTCATTCTGACGCTTCTGGCTCTTGTGATTGCTTTGTTCACTTCATTGGCTGCTTTTTGTCAACTAGAGGAAGTAATTCCAAAAGAATATCCGTGGTTCTAAATATCTAAATATATTCACTCATTCATTGTTATTGTTGTTGTGTCTATTTGCCATGAAGACTATTTTCTTTGTTTTTTTTTCTTTGTTTTACGAAATAAATTTTAATAATGGAATTTTTCTTGTGACAAAAATTATTTTTTAATTCGATTGCTTTGTTTGTTAAACTCAAAAGTGCTACTAGGCAGTGTTACAAAATCAGTTGTGATAAAGATTGACTTGATAGAGTCAAAATGACCGAATTTTATTGTTTTTGTACAGTACCGGTGCTTTACTGCTGACAAGGGAACATTCCGAACTGTCAGTAAAAATTTCTAAATAAAAATTGTACCATCGTGTAGAGCGTGGTCGAAAACGTATTGTAGTATCCGGCTTTTTTGGCTCCGACCCCCATTTCGAAAAGTTATAGGGCTTCAAAGTTTTCGACTTTTGGAACGGCTGAGTCCACTCACTTTTCTTATTATTTCTCTTTCTAAAGAGAAAAATGAGACTCGCTTTCTCCTTTTTTCCTTTCCTTTTCTTTTTCAATATTAATTAGAGAAAGAGAAAAAGAGGAGAGAAAAGAAAAGGAAAGGAGGCATCTCTGCCATCTCCTCTTTCCTTTTTAATCGACATTAGCTGCATGGCAGACACGCCTCTTTCTTTTTCTTTTCTCTCCTCCTTTTCTCTTTCTTTAACTAATATAGGAAAAGAAAAGCAAAGGAAAAAAGGAGGATGGGAGTCTTATTTTTCTCCTTAATAAAAGAAAAATCTCTCTTTATGCGGGAGACTCAGCCGTTCCAAAAGTCGAAAACTTTGAAGCCCTATAACTTTTCGAAATGGGGGTCGGAGCCAAAAAAGCCGGATACTACGATACGTTTTCGACCACGCTCTACACGATGGTACAATTTTTATTTAGAAATTTTTACTGACAGTTCGGAATGTTCCCTTGTGAGTGCCGTCGGAGCTCATCTTCGTTATTAACTCAAAACAAAACTTAAAGAACAACTCAAAAACTTCTTTTCTAAAACATTAAAAAACCATTTCAAATTATCAAACAAAACATATATTCTTCACTTCCATCTCATTAAGTTTCATAAACTTCGTCTCGTTCTCCTCGTAAACTTAGTAAAATTCTTGATAAAATAGGTGTAAAGCATATAGCTATTTAATTCCTAAGGCTCTGCAGTAGGTGGCGGGGTGTAATCGATAACACATCAGTCCGGTCTACTGAAGATCTGGTTGGCTCCCAGCGCCGAATAACCTTTTCCCCTAGCTAAAGAAGAAGTAGCTATAGCCCAGCTGCTTTACTTAGTTTAGAAATTCTAGTATAAAAACTAGAATAATCCAGAGCATTAAGCTCATTCCTCCACAACATTAGAAACTTCAAAGCTGAAGCATGTCACAACATGATCAACCGCCGAAGGATGGAGATCTCTACGATCAGCCACCGCCAGTAGCGCCGGGGAAGCAAGCAGACAGCCAACTCTACGATCAACCGCCACCAGCTGACGAAAAGGAGAATAAAGGAAAACAACAAGCTAAGAAACCAGCCGAGAAAAACGGGGATTATGAGGTCATCACTGATGAAGAAATTAACTCGATAATTCTGTCGGTCAAACGTAAGTTTTTGAGTTAATGTTCAAGAAATGAAAAATAAATTTTCTTTTATTTTTCAGCAAAGCAAAAACCAACGGGTAAGCAAAAGGAAAAGAAAAAAGAAAAGCAACATGGCAAATCTGACACTCCAAAGCGTCAGACTGCATCTGGTAATGAACTAACAATCAGATTCACTTTTAATTTTTATCATTTTTCAGCTCCAAAGAAACCCTCTAAGGAGAATGCTGATGTGGAAAAACCTGCCAAAGCACAACAAACAGCTCCTCAGCCAAAACCGAAAAAGAGCGTGAAGGTAAAGAGCAAATGTGGCATCGTATCTTCGGTCATTCTGACGCTTCTGACTCTTGTGCTTGCTATAGTCACTTCACTGGCGGCATTTTGCCAATTAGAAGAGACGATTCCAAAAGAATATCCGTGGTTCTAAAAATGTAAATGTATTCACTCATTCATTGTTGTTTTGTTGAGTTATTGTATTTCTCTTTCCTTTGTCCCATACTATAATTGTATTATATAAATATTATTAGCATACACAGTTCACTGTTAATTGTTTTGCTTGACGTAATAAATTAATTTTGAAATCTTTGTTATTTTATTTTTGTATTATAGGAGATTTGACTTGTTTCAAAATAGAATTAAATACCCATACAGTGGGGGAAATAGATAGGTAACTGTGAAATTGACTACCGTTTTTATTTCATCTGCATCAGGCCCGTAACCAGGGGGGGGTGAGGGGGGGAATTCCCCCCCCCCCGAAATGGGAAAAAGGAAAAAATTTGGGGAAGGGCTGGGGCAAAAAAGTGAATTTTTTTGGCCTACGGCCTTCGAAATTTTCAAAATTTTCGCCTGCGGCGCTAAAAAAGGACGAAATCTGGCTTCTTGAGGTCCAAAATTCAAAAAATTTTCGCCTGCGGCGCTGAAAATCAAATTTTTGGCGCCTGCGGCGCCGAAAAAGTGAATTTTTTTGGCCTACGGCCTTCTAAAATTAAAAAAATTTTCGCCTGCGGCGCTGAAAATAAAAATTTTTGGCGCCTTCGGCGCCAAAAATTTGGCGCAAGCAAATTTCCCCCCCTCGAAAAAAAATCCTAGTTACGGGCCTGATCTGCATGGTGTCTCCTCCTCCCCACTAACAAACAAAGCTTACAAGATTCAAGAGAATGAAGTAGAGAATGTAAGCAAAAATCGAGACAGCTGATTAAAACAGCAAAGCGATTAGTCTCGCACAAAACAATTAATCTCAAGCAAACCAATTACTCTCTAGTAGGGTCGAGTCGGGCTGAATTTTTCCGAGCCATTTTTCGGGCTTGTTTTAATCGAGAGCCGTTCGAGTCACTTTCAGGCTAAATATCTTAGGCCCGACTCGATCTTTCTGTCCCAAGTCCGTCTATTTTGGCAACCCTACTCTCAAGCAAAGGATTAACTCAACAATCTAAACATCGAACACCTTTATTTCATCACACAATCTTTCACATTGTCATCATCTTAAAACATTCACTGAAAATCAGTTATCGAAACAATTATAAAAATATTGACCTGGTTACTATCACTAACTTGAAGTTACAGTTATTTACTATAGTTAGGTATATGTTATTTCTACATATCAAAAAGTTCCAAGTTTTTTAAATTGAGCTAAGCTTTCGATATGGTGGTTGAAAGTAACTTGTAGCAAATTTCCTGTTCTCTACAGGGTGCGTAAAAAGTTCCCGGAATTAATCAAAACGGATTTATTTTCTCTTATATCGAAATAAAAATAAGTTTACCCCGAACCATCACAGATTGCGGGAAAAGTCTTTTTTACACACTAATTAGTCTTACGGACTTATTGGCGAAAGTTTCGGGTATTGTGACAGCGTTGGACGGTAAAAATTTTCATTTAAGTAAACAACACCCGTTCAGCCGACCAGCTGCGACCAAGCGCTTCATAAAACGACATTTTTGGGGAGTTTTGAGAGGACTTTTTGACATCTATTCTCTGAAAATTTTTTATAGACTAAATGTTTTCTGAACCAAAAATAGTGCTGAATATGATTGTGAACGAATTTTGTTTTAATAATCAATGTTTAAACCCAATAGTTGAAATTTTAAAAATTCCGGGACTTTTTACGCACCCTGTAGTATAAAAGCCAGATTTTCCAAATCATCTATCTCATTCCTCCAAAAAGTCTAATTTATACATTGAAGCATGTCACAAATTGGTCAACCGATGAAGACTGCAGATCTCTACGATCAGCCACCACCACCAGCAGCATCAGTAGCAGAAGCAGCGCCACCGCCGCCAGCAAACGACCAACTCTATGACCAACCGCCACCGGTTGACGATGGGAAGCAATCGCTGGCAAGGACGAAAAGTGAAGAAGTTTCGCGACCTACAAAGCCAACCCAGAAAGGCGAGTACGAAATCATCGATGACATGGAGGTATCGTTTTTGGAATCTACCAAAGGTAAGTCTTAAAAAGAATGTTCAAGAATTCAAAAATAGTTTCCTTCATTTTCCAGGAAAGAAAAAAGAGGGAAAACAAAAGGGGAAGAAGCAAGGCAAGTCTGATACACCAAAGCGTCAGACTTCATCTGGTAATGAAATAACAATTAAATTCTCTTTTAACTTTGTCATTTTTCAGCTCAGAAGAAACCCGCTAAGAAGAATATCGAAGTGGAACAACCGGTCGTCAAAGTCCAACCAAAACCTCAGCCAAAACCGAAAAAGAAGGTGGTGGTAAAGAACAAACGTTGCTGCGTACTTTTGTCTTTTCTGACGCTTCTGTCTTTTGCTCTTGCTTTGGTCACTTCATTGGCGGCATTTTGTCAATTAGAGGAGACGATTCCAAAAGAATATCCGTGGTTCTAAGAATGTAAATATATTCACTTATTCATTGCTATTGTATTTCTCTCCTCTTTGTCTCGTAATTGTATAATAGAGATGTAGTATAGTTTGTTAATGATTCACTATTACCTAATTGTTTTTCTTGATGTGATAAATTAATGCTTGACTTATTGTTAGATTAAAAATTTAAACTATTTAATCACAATAAAAATAATTCTTCAATCTCCCCCAATTCCCTCCTATTATTCCCTCTTTCATTAGAAAATTCATCCTCCCAAAAAAGCTCATTTTCACAATTTAAATTAAGCAGAGCTGATTTATTTGTTTTTAAACTTTTTCCAGAACAAATTGAGGAAGAATCAGAATCATTTTTGTTGTTTAAACAAAAGGCACGAGAAGCGGAAGTATTACAAGATAATTGACTATTTTTTTTAGTTAACCTTGAAATCCATCTAAGGGGATTCGGAGGGAAAAATAATCCCCCAATATAACGCTAAATCAAAGATACATATGTCTTTAATCCTTAGAAATTCAAATTAACCGCTCCGACTCACCTACCTATCCCAATCCCTTTAAGCCAAACAATCCCTATTTCATCAAATGCACTGATCTCTCATTTGATCCCATCAACTCCCGTTATATCACGATATTCCTTTAAATCCAACGGTATTTAGAGTTGGGCATTGAAAAATGACTCAAATTTCGTTAAATGCCTATTTAAAATAAAAAATTCAGAAAAAAAGTTCAAATTTAGTAATTGTTAAATCATAAAAGTTTATGTAATTTCAATCAAAATAAACCTATTTCGTCAAAATTTGGACCTACATATTTGGGCTTTTTCGGATTTTTTGAACCTAGGGTTGCCGTTACTTTAGGGTTGCCGTTTTCGGTTCGAGCCGACGTTCGGTGCATTTTTTCAAGCTTGGTTTTTTCGGTTCGGTTCGTTTTCAAGCTGAAAAGCCTCGGCTTGCTCGATCTTTCGAGTTTCGGTTCGGTCGAGCTAGCAACCCTAATTATTTTATATTATTTCTAGACATAAAGTTCGAAGTCTTATATTTCTAGTTAGTATAAAAGCCAGAATCTTCCAAATTATCTATCTCATTCCTCCAAAAAGTTTGTAACTTATACATTGAAGCATGTCACAAAATGATCAATCGCCGAAGGACGGAGAGCTCTACGATCAGCCACCACCACCAGCAGCGCCGGGGAAACCAGAAGACAGCCAACTCTACGATCAACCGCCACCGGTTGACGATGGGAAGCAATCGCTGGCAAGGACGAAAAGCGAAGAAGTTTCTCGACCTACAAAGCCAACCCAGAAAACCGAGTACGAAATCATCGATAACATAGGATCGATATCTATCAAAGGTAAGTCTTAAAAATGTTCAAAAATTCAAAAATAATTTTTTTCATTTTCCAGGAAAGAAAAAAGAGGGAAAACAAAAGGGGAAGAAGCAAGGCAAGTCTGATACACCAAAGCGTCAGACTTCATCTGGTAATGAAATAACAATTAAATTCTCTTTTAACTTTTATCATTTTTCAGCTCCAAAGAAACCCGCTAAGAAGAATATCGAAGTGGAACAAACTGTCGTCAAAGTCCAACCAAAACCTCAGCCAAAACCTAAAAAGAAGGTGGTGGTAAAGAGCAAGTGTGGCATCTTCTCTTCGGTCGTGCTGACGCTTCTGTCTCTTGCTATTGCTATAGGCACTTCATTGGCGGCATTTTGCCAATTAGAGGAGGTAATTCCAAAAGAATATCCGTGGTTCTAAGAATGTAAATATATTCACTCATTCATTTGTTGTTCTTCTTCCCTTTCTCTTCAATCACATAATTGTTCATATAAATAATTGAGAGATTTATATTTGTTTGTCCACTATTATTAATAGTTTTTCTTGACGTAATAAATTAATGTTTGACTTATTGTCAGATTAAAAATTTAAACTATTTAATCACAATAAAAAAAATAAATTTGCATGAATGTCAATAATTGTTACACGATTATATTTAGTTAATATAGTCAAGTCTCTGTAAAGATCAGAATACTTCGAACCAGTAAAGTCCTTAAAATGGCAAGTCCGTTCAAAATGGACAGTTAAATTACATTTTGATCTCCACCCATATAAAAAAAGAAATAAGGCACACGTAAAGGCTTTTATTATTTTTATGAAATTGTTAAAACCATTCCAAACTCGATTCTGACCCATCCAAAGATGAAGTTGATATACTGTTTGATTTGGTTATTGCTAAAGTTGTTGTTTTCTTTACCGGTGTTGCCGTTGCTGATTGTTGTTCACTTATTTTTGAAAGAGGCCGTAGAACAATTCCTTTACTTGAATCAACTTCGCCGCCATACCTTCTAAAATTATTTTTTTATTTTAATGTTTAGATTTCTCTGAAGTGAAAAAAAATTTTGGATAACCATATAGGTAATTCCGTAAATACTTTCGTAATTTCTTGCAACTCTTTTCCCTGTATTTAGTCCCCTGCTACCTACATAGATCGTGTCGACGCAGAAGACCCAAAGACAGCCCATAGGCTTACGTTGTTTGTTTTTTGTATCGTAACTTAGTAAAATCTTGGTCTTATAAACTTTTAGTAAAAATTTTTCCTTATGAGTCTTTTGTGGGTATACTGTCCGTGGGTCTTCTGTCACTACGCCACCTAGATCACACAACTATGCTTGTTGTGTCCACGTTTTAAGAGAAAATATCAAAGCTCCCATCATCGGTTGGCTAAATGGTAGCACAATGAGTTATGTTTTGTTTTATCCCTCTTATCTTAACATAAACTCCCACCCATTCATTCGAGACTTTATACGAACAAAATTTCCTTCAATATCAAATTTTTAATTCAAAATATCCACCTAAAAACGCCACTTTTCGTTCTCGGACGTGTATTAACATTTTCAGTAGTTTCCCCCTCCTCGAAGCATTGTTCCTTCCAATCATCATCATCAGCACTTGATTGAAAGTCTGTCCCAATTGCTGAGTCAATCATTGCCCCAGAATTAGGCATTTGGCTTTAAAAGGAGAGAAAATTCTTTTTAGAATTTTTTTAAATTTAAAAAAAAACATTTGAGCAGAAGAGGAAGTTGCCATTGAGGAAGAAGCGTGGGAATTAATACTTATTATACTATCAACCATTGGACCAAGTTGATTATTATTATTGTTGTTGTTACTCCTTTCTTTCCTTCTATAAAGTTCTAAGCATTGCTTCTCGGACGTTGAGCGAGAATTTATGCCATCACTTTTAGTTAGTTCCCATAAACTAAATTATTAAGATTGTTCTCTTTAATGGAAAAATTATCAAGTTATCCCAAGCCGTACAATTAATATACACAATGGAGACTGGGCCGTGAATGTCGTACGAGATTTCTCTAAAAATATAGATCTCGATAAACGAGATTTTTGTTCAAAATCTCGCTTCGGTATGATCTCTATAGACCCTGTTTGAAGGAGGACCGAGTGCAATAAGTGGGATTTTTGAGGGGAACTTTAAATGAATGATAAAAATGATTGTAAAGATGGATAACTTTGATTTTCTTTTTGTAAAAATTTTTCTTTGATTTTGGATCTTTCTTTAAATTTTTCTTAATTCTCTCAATTTTCAATTCAAATAAACATTTTTTACCCCTGAGAAGTGCAGACAGGAGCAGCTTCCAATCTTTTTCTCTGTTGTCTATGCGGAGAAGATGGACAGCAATAACGTCCAAATCTGTCGGAACGTGTACTTCCTCCACAAAGAGAGGAAGAGCTTTCGGAGAGTTCACTAAAAAATATTTTTGTGGATTTTTTGGAAATTTTTATTACTTTTGTAAAACAATTTTGTAAGCTGTAAATGGAAGTCGGGGCTCGTCTCTGGATTTATTGCTGAAATTATCTTGTTTTGTTTGTGTAGTATTTACAAATGAAGAGCAAGAACAAGCAGCATTAGCTACATCATCAAGTGAGGATAATTCACGTAGCTACAAAATAATATTTTTTTGATAAGAAAAAGGAAAGATTTTTTTGTGTAATTTTCATTAGTCTTTCTTAAATCGGATATAACGTTACTAAGGTTATACACCCATATAATTAACTCCTTTGAGTATAACTGGGGTTAATTAACCGAACACTTTCCTGATTAGCTAGTATGTAGGTGTTTTGCCCTACTCTAAAGTGAGGAAATTTGGAATAAATAGGAGAGGAGGGTAAGTCCGACAATCTAATAGCTTCTAGATAATTTTATTTCCTTCCCTTACATTATCCAAAGCATTGTCAACTAAACTGTCACCATCCTCAATATCCTCTTCATTTGTATTTTTATCGAGCCAATCGTTTGAAAACATTTTTTCAAGATTTTTCATTGCAGAAAGTTGGGAAAGACCTCCAAGACTTCCTTCTCTTTCGCGAAAGATAAAAAGGCCTAAAAAATAATTTGGTTAGAGAAAAGCGAAATAGCATGTAATTTAGAGAGAATTAGAGAAATTTTATGTTGATGGAATTTTATTTTAACTCGAATAACTTTCACTAATTTTTTAAAATTATATTTATTATCCATACAATTACCTTCATCATCCACAATTTCCTCAGTCTCCCCCAATTCCCTCCTATTATTCACTCTTTCATTAGAAAATTCATCCTCCCAAAAAAGCTCATTTTCACAATTTAAATTAAGCAGAGCTGATTTATTTGTTTTTAAACTTTTTCCAGAACAAATTGAGGAAGAATCAGAATCATTTTGGTTGTTTAAACAAAAGGCACGAGAAGCAGAAGTATTACAAGATAATTGACTACAATCACTAGAAGAAATTGAAAATTTAGAGAGATCAACTATTTATGATCTATTTACAAAGCTCTATTAGAATACTTGGGGGAAACTAACAAAAATATTTTCCAAACATTCACAGTCATAAAATCCCAAAATTTTAATCTTTAACGCTAAACCCTAGCTTTTTAGCCTTTTTAATCTACTGTGAAAATCAGTGAAAATATGTCCTTATTGCCCTTATAATGCCCTTATTTTGCATTATTTTTGAGTATTTTTGCCTAATTTTTATCGAGCCGTTCCTTTTAGTTCTAGAAATGCTGCCCCCCCTAGAATTCTATATTTTCTTAATAATCTTTAAATTAATGCCTTAAATTTCCTTCATTATCTTCGTCATTTTCATTTGTTAATTCTTTTCTTCTTTTACCAATTAAAGCATCACTTCCTCCATAACGTACAATATCCCCTCTACTCGCTATTGTATTTTCTGCTCTGTTATTATTTAAATTTATTTGTTGATCCATTGAGGCAATTCCTTGTAAATGTTGATTGCGACGAAATAATCGTTTTAAGGCATTTGCTTGACGAACCTGAATTATTTTTTTGAATTTTTTGAAAATCGGTTAGAAATTTTTCAAAAATTTTCTACAAATTTTTTTTGAAATTTTCTAAAAAAATTTTCTACGAATTTTCAAAAATTTTTCAAAAAAAATTTTTTTGAAGAGAAAGCACCTGTACAACAGCAACATGAGGTTTCCCTTCAATTTCGTCTGCTTTAGAGGCAGTAGAAGCAGACAGGAATTCGTCTAACCTTCGAAGAAGCTCATTTTCTCCGCCCAAACGGACAGCATAAAATCCCTTAAATTTTTTAAAATTTTCAAAAAAATTTCCCCAACGAAAAACCTCTGCAAGTACAACAGCTTCATTATTATTGCTAACACTTGCTTTTTGATGATCTTTTTGTTCGTCAGTTGGACTTAACTGCTCCAAAGCTGTCCATATACTATTCGATTTTATTAGTCTACAAAGCATTTTGTAGGCAACAAAGGAACCGATGCCAACGGCAAAAGCTGCGCCACTTGTACGGGCTGAAATAAAAAATTTTTTTTGAAAATTTTTAAAAAATTTAGAAAATTTCGAAAAAATTTTTTTAGAATTTTTTGTTTTTTCAATAAAAACACCTTTAATTCCAAGTCTAATATTTCCATATCGAAAATAACAAAAATTTTCTTTAAACGAAGTCTTAGATAAAAGACAAAATAAATTTCTAGTCCAAGTTGAAAATGAACGGAGCACCCAACGCAAAAGACAGCCGACTTCCATTTATTTTTTATTAAATTAATTTTTACTTTTCTACATTTTCTGATAAATAAAAAAGAATTTTTAAAGCTCTAATAGAAGCTCTCTCTAATAGAAATCCATCTCCCTCGTAATAGATCTTTTATTAGAGAGAGGGCTCTCCAATAAAAGTTATTAGCGAAGGGCCTCTAAGAGGTCTCTCGAAGAGGTCTCTCGAAGGGTCTCTCGAAGGGTCTCTCGTTATTAGAGAGGGGGCTCTCCAATAAAAGTGCATTTTCAGGAAAATTGTTTAAGGCTACTATTAGAATAAATCCAAAATTTTAAAAATGTTTTTGAACATTTTTTAAGAGAGAATGTATACAAGGAAGAACATAAATTATAAAATAAGTAAAAAAGTAATAATAACACAAAGGTTGTTGATATTATAGTTTTTTTTCAAAAAATCTTCTCAATTTACTTTTTGAGGTTAAAAAGTAAAAGTTATAATAAATAAAGTAGCAATTGTCCTTTTCTATTCACAAAAAAGTAAATTTTTAAGAATTTTAGGATTTAAAGAGGAACGGAAAGAATTAATAAAATAATAATATTTTAAAGGATTTAGAAAAGAGATCAAATGATTTTGTGGTCAAAATTAGGGAATTTAGTTAGTATATATTTTTTTGAATTAAATTTTGAAAAAAGTTGTACTTGTTGTAAATATTATATTTATTTGAAAAAAAGAGATATGTAGATAAATATTAAATTTAAAGAAGGTACATTATGAAAATTTAAAGAAATTCTATCAGAAGCCGGAGAATTGGAAAGCTTGGAAAAGGAAGAAGGAAAAATTAAAAGAGGGAAAAGATTTGGGTTGAAAATTAGATTAGCCCAAAATAATTCATACACTGAAGTTGATACGAAAAATAGAGATGCTAAGGATTACAGAATATGAGGATTTATATTATCTTGCCAAGCAACGGTGGCAAAATAACCATAGAATTAAATAAAAATATTAAAAGATTTGTAAAAAAATAAATTGAATTTTTAGTAGTTTAACAAATTTTTTAAAAGTAATTTTTGTTTAAATTTAGACTTATTTAATTGAAATTAAAGACAAAGAGAAAATAATTAAAGTTTTCAAATCATTAAAAATAATTAGCTCTAATCAGGTTGAAAATTGGATTAACCCAAAAATAAATTAATGTTTTTAGAAATAAAAGGGAAATTTTTATTTTTTTTGAAAAATTTGAAGAAAAAAAAATAGAAAATTTAAGAATTAAAATTTTAAATGGGAAATATTCTTAACTTGTGATTTATAATTTTGTCGAATAAATATTTTAATTAATCATATTTCCGTAAATTTTTAACTAGGGTAGCACTTCGGAGGCGGGATCGTCGGGGACCGGGTTTGCCGGGGTAGAGCTTTCGGGGTTCGATTTGGGGTTTTTGGCTAAAAATTCATCGGGGGTCAGGTCAGAGTCGTGGTTTCGTGGGACGGGGTGCTACCCTATTTTTAACAGTCCAGGTTTTAAAATTAATAAAACAAAAAATAATATCAAAAAAATTATTGTCTGTTAAAAAAATTTTAAAAACAAAAAAAAATAAAAATTTTGAAAAAAAATAAGAAAAAAGTTTGCAAATAAAAACATTTAAAGTTTTAGGAGAATTTTAACGGAAACTTTTCTTCATTTAACTGCTAATTTTGCCTTCCAAAAAATATAAAAAAGCATCATTTGGCTTTTATCTCTTTCCACAGATTGATGGATTGAATTGTTTTGTTTGTTTGGTCAGTTGATATATTAAAGGAAATTAAGAGAGGGAAAGGATTTGGGGTAGAGAAAGAAGGGAGGAAAAAAATAAATTTTGAATGAGGTAAATAAAAAAAACGGAAGTGAATAAATCGACTTTTGTGATTGACAAAATAAATATATTGAAATGAAAGGAAAATAATAATAAATATTTTTGATTTTTAATAAAAAAATATTTTTTAAAAATATTTTATTAAAATGCCGAAAATTGTAAACAAAAAAGGTAAAGAGCGCAGATTGAAATTAATTGCACAGTTGTATGTATTGTTACAAAGGTTTTTAGAAGAATGTGGGAAAGAAGAAGGATAAAGGAGGTAGATTCTTGGTTTTGAGTTTAGGGAAATATTAGGTTTTGGACATCAGTAAAAGGCTAAAAAATCTACATGATTTTTTAGATTAAAGTTGACTAAAAGCAAAAGCCCTAAGGCATTAGGTGAAACAGACAAAAATGAAAAAAATGTCAAAAATGCAAGGATGTTAAAAAAGATAAATCATGTAAAAGATAAAAAAAGATAAAAAACATAAATCTTATGTAAAAGTTGTCGCCTTTGTAGCTAAGTGATAGAATACCTCCAAAGGGGTAACCGAGACCAAGCGAGCATCGATTTCTGCCTTATGGCTAAATCTTTGCTAGATTCTTATACACTTACAGATTTTTCATAAACAAAAAATTGAGAGAGTAAATTAAACAAAAATAAAAGTTGAAAATTTAGGAGGTTCAAAAAATAAGCGATTTGGGAGAGAAAAAATGACTTAATGAAAAAATAAGAGATTAGTAAAATATATGCAAGTATCTCGCCTTGCGCAAAAATTTTTTCCAACAATTTTTTAATTCAAAACAAAAACTACAGTATTTCCTTTATTAGAATGCCATGGCATTCTATTTTTCAATTACCTCCAAAGGTGGCATTCTAATAGAGGAAATACTTTATTTACTAACTAAAAATAGCAATATCCATATTTTGTGTTGCTGGAATAGATAGCCCCAATTGTGTAACCAATTCAAGTTGTTTTCCACCTCCAAAAACCCTAGCTTCAAGGAAAAGTGGGGGTAATAGGGTTGCTAAAGCATTTAATAATTTTGTTGTTTGTTTATTGTTAAATGAATTGGAATTTCTTTTTGTTGTTTCCATTTGAGGGGTTAAACTTTAAATAATTAAATTATTTTTTTAAATTAAATTTTTGAACATTTATGGTGTCTAATACCAATATGAGAGAACCGGAAAGGAGCGAAGAAAATGTTAGTTATATCAACGAGGGTTGTCGGTTCCGGACCGAACCGAGGATTCTTCGGTTTGGTTTCGGATATCCGAAGATTTTCCAAGAACCGACAACCCTAACATCAACCATTTCGAGTAATTTTAAAAATAAATCCTAGCCTGGGACCGGTTAGAAGATTCGTTATTTCAAAGTTAATTTTATATCGAGAGTTGACCGTATGTCGGTATATATTCAGGTATATATTCGGATCGGTATATATTTAGTAATTTTTTTCGAATGGAGGAAAGTATAAATAATTTTTTTCCAGAAAGGAAAAAAATTTGAATCAATTAAATTAAAGTATTTTTTGTGTTAATTTGGAAAGTAATTAAAAAATAAGAGGGATTCCTGAAATTATGTTCCGGAAATTTTAATTTAAAAATAAATTGGAGGACGTTTTTTAATTATGTATTTAAACAATTAATTTTCTCAATAAATATGTGTGAGTATTATTCTTTAATCCTTTAAATAACAAATTTTTATTCTTTGAATGATAATAAATAAACATTTTATTTTTAGCAAAAATAAAATTTTTTGCTTTATTAATTGATAAAAAAATAAAACGATAAAAAAATAATTTTTGATTTTCCTTAAAATAATCCTTCTATTGTTTGAAAATAGTAAAGATACGAGGATTCTTCGGTTCGGAAATTGAGCTTACTCCCCCTATAGTTTTTCGATTTTCGGGGACCTATATCTCGATCCACAGGCATCTCCAGAAAAAAAGAGTGGTGCCGCTCGACTCAGCTCGTCGAGAAGAATCGAAAGGCATGGGTCTAATATCGAAACCTTACCACCGGTATATACTATATCTAAAACAAGTTAATAACTTTTAACCTACCTTAAAAAACTATTTAGAATCCTTTAATTTTGTTGTTATTTTTAAATAAATTATTTGGGAATGTCGATCAATAATTGCCAAATTAAAAAATCAATTTTGAAATAAAATGGAAGAAAAAATAAAATTGTTGAGAGAAAATCAAAAGGCACTAATAAATAAATTTAATATACAATTTTTGTTAAAATACCGCCTGACAAAATTTTTTTCACTTCAAGCAGAAATTGACAATTTTACATTATTAAAAAATAAATCTAAAAATGATTTAATTAAATATAATTTCGTTTGATTAAAAAAAAAATTACGACACCCCCGATTCCCAGGACGTCTCCGTTCCAAGTACTAAGGAGGCCCAGCGTTGCTTAACTTGCCAGATCGGACGGGATGGCGTGCTTTCAACGCGGTATGGTCGTAATCAATAGGACATAAAATTTTTGCTATGATAAAGAGGTCGGATAAAAGTTGTTGATTTTTTATTAAAAGGTGAGCATTAAATGCTAAAATAGATTTAGGTCAAGAACATTTTTTAATTAAATTAGAGACAATCTTAGAAAATTAAATAGTGGGAATTTTAGTATGTAGCAAATCTATTTGGGACAACACAAACCCTGGAATGTTAAAATATCCTGATAAAATTAAACAGTCATGGAAAGGGAACTTTTTTCAAAGTTTTTCAAATTTTTAAATAAAATTAAGAAAATTCTTTTTGTTTTTTATTAAAAAATAAAAATTGATTTTTTAAAATTATCTTTAAAGTGTTCATTTACCCTATCGATTTCTACAAAAAAACGAGAAAAAAGAAATATACAAAAATTAAAAGCCAACAACTCTCTCAATTCTCGTCGATACTCTCCCCCATATCGATATAATATTACACTTAAATTTTCTTTCGTTTTTGGGGGATAATGGAAAATTGGAAGAGTGAAAGGTGAGTAGAAAATGTGTGTCTGGAAAAAACTGGAAATAACTTGAAATTATGCCATCGCCTTAAATTAATGATGAAAATGTCTGTGAGAGATGTTGATAATGAATTTGAAGTTGGATTTTGAAAAGACATTGGAGATTATTTAATTGAGTTTAATCTGTTCGTTATTTGGTGAAATAAACTTTATTAGCGTGATCAGCACCAGAATTGGGTCGGTAAAGAATATGATGTCGGAAATCGGAACTGGCTCAAAAGTCGGAACTCGGAAATTTGAAATTTTCAAAGAATTTCGAAAGTCGGAAATCGGAATTCCGACCCCTCTGATCAGCACTTTATTGTGACGTTTTAGCGTTAATTTAGAAGGTGTCATAAAAAAATAAAAAGTTAAATTAATTGTTTCTTTCAATGTTTCCTCCCTATAAAGTTTATCAAAATAAAAGAAATTGCCCGAAACCCCAAAAAAAATAATTTTCAACTAAAAATGAAATAATCTTTCGATTTTCTATAGAGAATTTTATGTTTAATCTTCTTTTATATTTTTTAAAGTAACAAATTAAAAACAAATCAAAACAAAAGAATAATTAATCTAATTGTTCAATTAATACATAGAAAGGATTAAATAAATGAATAAAAATGTTTAATGATCGAAAACAAAGAAAATAAAAAAAATTTTGATATAAAAAACAAAAAAAAATATTAGGTAAATTAATTTTGATATCAGAAAATAGGGGTGTCGTTTTCGAGTCAGACCTTCGTTCGAGTCATTTTTTCGGGCCTCGTTTTTCTGACCGGACCGACCGAGTCTCTTTCGGGTCGGACCGTGCCGGCAACCCTTCCAGAAAAGTATTTTTGATAAAATTATTGTAAATAGGTTTTAAAATTATTTTTAAAAAAAAGTACCTAAAAGGAAACTTAAAAAATGAACCGAGAAAAAAAAGAAGAAAATTAAAAATAGGAAAAGCATATTAACTTTCTAGCTATTTCCCTAGACGATTTTTTAACAAACTTTAAAATTATTTTTATTTAATATTTCAGAAAAAAATTTTTTAAAATTTTTTTCAAAAAAGCAACAAAAATTTTAAAAAAATTTTAGCCAAAAAAATCCTTCAGAATTTTTTCTAGAGCCTTGCACTGCCTTTTAGCCATAAAAATGCCCCTTTTTCTTTACATTTCAAGGAAAAAAATAACAAAAGATAAATGACAAAAAAGATACCCTTCCCTCCCCCCCCCCTTCCCCCTCCCTTTCAGTTAGCATCTCCTTTTTTACTTACTTTTATGGCTGCAACAAAAGGCTAGTCAAAATAAACGTCAATGTAAAAATACTTTGAGTAATTCAACAGATGGGGGATGCGACAGATGAGAGAGAAAAAAGAAATAAAATTGGTAAAATAAATTGGGAAATTTCCGGGTTTTTTTAACTAAAAGGGATGAGATATATTTGGGAAATCGATATTTAAAAAATTTTTGATCCAAAATTTATCTTTATCTTATAAACTATGTATTTATTACCACCTTCTTGTTGCCTCTTTCCATCAAAAAAATCTAGAAAAAAAATAAAATTCGAGAATCATGGTGGCCCTTTCCAAATCACCAAAAGGGGGGATGACCTCTCAAAAAGTGCAAAAAATCTTGAAAATTTTGGAAGAATTTATCTTTTTTGAGGTCCGCAAGACAAACTTTTCAGGCATTCTTCCTTTTTCAAGAAAAGTTCAAAAAGGTGACAAAAAGGGGGCGAGAAGGTAAAAAAGGGGGCAAATGCCTCCCAAATGAGGCAAAAGGGCCACCCTGATTCCAAATAATGTTAATTGAAGGGTTCTTGCTAGAACTTTTTTTTAACTTTTTGCTGTTTTTAGAGAAAAAAATATTTTTGAAAATTTAAAAAAATTTGAACGACACGGAAATTTAAAGATTTAAAAGACGAACTTTTCAGGCAAATAAATTCATCTATTTTTTAAACAAAAATTCAAAAAAATATTTAAATATGTACCTTAAGTAAAAATTCTCACGTCTAAAAAAGTACTTGAGTTAAACGAAAAGCGCAAAAAAAATTTTGTGTGGCCGCAGCTTGAAATCCCTTCTCTTTTCACCTATAAAAATATTGACAGTCGAGTGTTTTTAGTTGTTATTCCCCCCACACTTGTTTTATATTTTTTTCTTTTTTTTAAAAATAAATTCCTCCCGTTCCTCCTTCACATTCTTTTTTTTTGCATTTACTCTACAAATATAGACATGTCTCCTCTACATATATTTTTGTCCCAAACAATCCCCTCCCTCCTTTTTCCTCAATACTTTTCTAGTAATTCTCGACGTGTTCCTCTTTGCCAGTATTTTATAAAGAAGGAATCGATTGCCGAGAGGAAATGAAGATTTTTTTGAATTTGAGGAGGAAACTTGATTGAGTGAAATTAATAGAAAGGATGAATTTTATAAAAAAAAAAGAATCGAGATTTTCATTTAAAATCCAAACTTTTTATCCGTCCAGATTCTTTAATTAATTTTTTTATATTTTTTAGTCTTATTGTTAACTTTTTGGAATTCAGCTAGAAATTTAAATTTCAATCTGCCAATGCCATTTTCGCTGGAGGGAGTAATTAATAGGGGTGAGGTAATTATTTGAGGGAGGGCAATTAATACAGGTTTTATGGCAATTTATTTTATATTGTAAATTTCTTAATAAAAACATCTAAATATTAACAGTCGAAAACTACATAATTTTTTAAATTAATTTTATTTGGCATCAAAAAACTTAAAAAATTATTAACAAATCAGTTTGCATCTTTCAATCCTAACTTTTTTGGTTTTTTTCTGTTAGCAGTTGTGCTTTTTGGATTTTGTAGGGTTTTAACCCAAGTTCATTTTTGGCTATTCGTCTGACGGTCCTCTCACTTATTCCGGTTTCACGAGCCACTTTTCTCATGGAGATTCGAGAATTGCGATACACCCTCATTTTGATCAATTTGATATTCTTGGAAGTGCTTACGGAACGCGGTCTTCCACTTTTTTGTAAGTTCTTAGTTGTGCCATGATTACTAAATTAATTTAAAATAAATTTTCTCCCAAAAAATACTCACCAGAATTTTTTGATTGTGTATTGTACAGTGCTCTTTGGGACATCCAAAAGAGATGAAATTTTGTGGACTGAATTTTTTTTCAAAAAAAGTGAATTATAGAATCACGTTGACTAGCCATAATAGAGAATTGAATAAGCTAAAAAATAGGCATAAAATCGATTAAAATATTGTCAATAAAGAAAGTTATAAGGAATTTAAAAGTGTCCAATTACTTATGCCGCACCCTGTTATTTTTTAAATTAATTTTATTTGGCATCAAAAAAACTTAAAAAATTATTAACAAAATTGCGTAATAATTAAAAAGAGAATATTTAAAATCAATATCAATTTATTTAAAATTACATATCTTTTTTGGTGATTAGTTTTTTGGCAGTAAAATATAAAAAAACAAAGCCAATGCACACAGAAAATTTAGAAATGAGAATATATAATTATTTTAATTAAAGAGAGAAGAGAGAGGATTTTTAGAAAAATTAATAAATTTAAATATGGCAACGATTACAAATTAAAAAAAAAAGCAAAAATACTGAAAATAATGGATTGAGTGTAGAAAAAGAGTATTTTTTGGATAATACAAAAATTAAAATATTTTAGAAAACAAGTGAATTAAAAAATTCATTTAAATATAACATGTAGACAATACCTGGGATATCCATAAAAAATTCTAATTTTTTTTCTTCTAAAAATTTCTCAAAAATTTTTTTTGAAAATACCCCCAAAAAATTTCATTTTAGGAGACAATACCTTCCCATAAATTAAAAAAACTGGAAATTTTAATTAAGCACAAAATTTTCAAATCCCTCATTTATTTTAAGTTTCATGGATATTTAGTTGGTATCAGGGATCTAGCCGACATGAAAATTAAATTCCTGATTTTTGGGAAACGGGTCGGTTAGATCCCTGGTAGGCATGTCTCATGTTATGCTTTTCAGTAAAAGTTTCGCAAAAAAATTTAAACGATACCAAGAGAGAAAAAAGAAAATATACGAAACTTTTGGAAAAATAAATTTCATAAAAAAGACCCAAAATAATTTTAAATATTTAAATATACATTCGTTGTTTTTTAAGCGTAAAATTCTTTTGTCGATGCTTTTTGGTAATAATTTGAAAAACGATGTGTTTGAACATGATCTTCACAAATATAAGAACCCTTCAAAAATAATTAATTTTTAAATTAAAAAAAATTAAAGATTACCTCATCCTTTTTCCTTATCCTATAGAAAATGTAAGTAATCACTAATATAATTAATAGCACAAAAACAACTGCACCACCAACAATAACTGAAAATTTATTGAATTTTTATTAAAATTTTAAAAAATTGTTGAGGGAAAAATATTTTATTAAAAAGTTAAAAACCAAAGAAATTTGAAGCTAATAGACATTTGTGGACAAAAGTTGTGGACAGCAATCAATTTTTAATTATTTACTCTGAATCAGTGGTGTCTCGGGTTACCCGACGACACCAAGCCCGGGCTATTTTTCAACCAGAAACCCGAATCGAAGAAGAAAACCCAAACCCAAAAACCTGGACTTTTTTAAAATAAAATTCAATCTTATAAACTTTCTGTCAGAATTTTAATTCCCAAATTTTAAAGAATCTTGTACTCATTTTCTGTTTAATTAGAGGTAACTTATTGTCACAATAGATTGTTAAAACCTTTTTTACCAACATAAAACTCCACTCGCGATTTTACGAAATAGACAATCCCGAATTTAAAATTGTTGGAAGGATGCTAATGTCATCTTTTTCACTCTTTTCTTTAATTGTTGTACTTGTTTTGATTTCTCTTAATCGGAATTAAATAAAGAAAAATTTACGTGCAAAAACTCCAGGTTTGAGCTGTTCCAAAGTTCCCGTCGGATCGACAATAAAAGGCGGAGGAGGCATTTTCTGTTTTGGCAATTTTGTGCTTTTAGTTGATGAAATTGTTGCTTTAGGTGTCGTTTTAATTGTTGAAGTAGTTGTTGGCCTTTTAGTTGTTGTTGGAATGGGAGGGACAAATTCTGTTGGAAACCGTTCTTTTTCACTCTTTTCTTTAATTGTTGTACTTGTTTTGATTTCTTTGGTTTTTACAATTGTTGTAGATGCTGGCGTTGATTCTTTGGTTATATTAACCCGTGTATCAGAAAATAGAGGCTGCTCAGTTTTTGTAGCAGGCTTGGATGTTCGAGGTAAACTTTCGTCCTCTGTTGCTGTCACATTTGTTTTGGTAGAAACTGGAACTCCAGTTAATTCAATATTGCCTTTTCGTATCTGTAAATATATCAAATAAATACGAAATAATTGAGGGAGTGAGAATATAAAAATTGAGAAAGAAATTTTTTGGTACTCCTGCCGTTTAAGGGGACCGTCTTTCTCTGACCATTGAGACTATAATTTTGACACTAAATTTCAATTGCCACACATTTCATTTGTGGAAAATAAATGTTAGTTAAGGAGCAAAGAAGGATAAATTTTGATTGGCCAAAAGAGAACACCGGTCTCATAATGGTCAAATAACTGCGACCCCTCATAAATTTCTAAATGGAATGAGCAGTTTAAAGGAAAAATTAAAAAAAAATAACCTCTTCAATATTATTTATATTAGTTTGTGTATCTATCTGAGCATTGTCATCAATAGGGGGGCTTCCTGAACCTTCAATACCATCTAAATTCGATTCAGAATTGAATATAATTTTAAGAAAAACCTCCAGATCCTTCATCTACATCCCCGTCTTCGTCGTCTGGATTAACCCCAGAGCCCTGAAAATCATCTTGTGAATTTCTCTGTGGAATCGACAAAGGTTCAACCTCATCCAATTTTGAGTCTACTTGATTTGCAATAGAAGTAGGAAAATTTTGACTGTTTGACTGACACTTAAATTGAAAATTTAAAAATATTTTGAATCAAAAACGGTACTTGTGGGTTATTCCAAACCAGTTTTTGCGGACATATTTATGCGGAAGAATGCTTCATTGAAGAATGCCACAGAGAAAATTGAGTGAAATCGGAGAAGGACAAACCTTTGACCTTTCCGTACATAAATGTCCGCATAAATTTGTCAGCAAAAAATTGGTTTAGGATAACCCACAAGAAACTAAAGAACTCACCGTGGCTAAAGTAAAAAGTAAAAGAATTGACAATATCCTAAAAGAAATAATAGAGGAGTCTTTAAAGAATGCCAGCATCTAAACTAAAATCTAAAAAATAAAATAAAATTTTTTAAGTATTAAAAACTTACAAAGTTCAATAATGAAAAGGCGCTTCAAACCATTAAGAAAAAAATATTGTTACTTTCCAAGTGGTTAAAGCGTTCAAAATTTAATTAATTGCACTAAAAACAAAATTAAAAATTAGCAATAAATCTCTTCTAAAGCGCAACTAATATAACGTCGAATAAATAAGTAATCCGGAAGTTAAGGTTTATAACTGAAAAAGAAAATTCTTTAAGCGCAATGGACAAGAGCAATGACCAAAACAAATCAATAAAAATGCGGTAATAAATTTCCTCTTTTAATGGCGAGATGGGTGCAGTTTTTATGGTTATGTTGTGTTTAGATGGACAGCATCCGAAGGGGATTTTTTTCCGTTATCATATATTAATTGTAAATCTTAATTATTTTTTTCTCTTTTTGTCTGCGATTAATAAAATGTTGTTAAGTAGCTTAGATTAAATTAATTAGAGGGACCATTTAATTTAAAAAGACCACCATTCCCGAAAACCAGAAAGAAAGAAACATCTTCTACCCCCCGTATTTCTGAAACAAAGCCTGACTCAATAAACAAATTATCCGAGCATTCAGACTCCGATTCACAAATTTCAAGTCTGTACAAAAGACCGGTGCAAAAAAAGACCGGAACTGCCACGGAGCGGGCAAAAAAGTCCGAAACCGGTCTTTTAACCCTTTTTGCCCATTCCGGTCTTTTTTCGCAACGGTCTTTTGTATAGGAGCCACAAATTTTCGTTAAAGATTAAATTTTTGGCATTCTGTCAATAAAAAATTTTTTTATAAAAAGTTTTTTTTCTTATTGTATTTTTTGTTAAGCCTGTTTTGCTTATTATAGAGGACCTTTGAAAATAAAAGTTTTTGTACTATTATTTCCCCAGCACTTAACTCTCCCTTTACTACAATGAATCGCGAAAATTTGTTACACCGATCACAAAGCCAACAGCAAAACGGTAATTGGCGTCAACAGCAAAACGGTAACTGGCGGCAACAGAACGGTAATTGGCGGCAGCCGCAAGACAGTGGTAATTGGCGGCAACAAGGAGCGCCACAACAAGGAGCACAAGGAGCAGCACAATCTTGGGAAGAAAGGGGACCTCCGGATCCACGAATTGAAGCTGAATTGTTTGTTAAAATTATATTTTTTTTCTTTTGATTCTTCCTCTTTTTAGGTTTTCTGGGCAGAATACTGGAATCAATTTTGATAAGTACGAAGAGATTCCTGTTGAGGCGACTGGTATCAATTGTCCACAACCTATTCAAACTGTAAAATACTTAATAGAGATTAAATTCTCTTATTTTCTAACAGTTTACTGATCAGAGTCTAAGCCTGCATCCTTGGATTGAAGAAAATATTAGAAAGTGTGGATATGATCGACCAACTCCTGTTCAGGTTTTTTTCCTTTAAAAAAACTGGTAATAGTTAAGTTTGTGTTTCCCCTTTTTTCTTTCGGCTGTAATGTAGTGTACCGAGGTAAAAGTTCAGGACGTGGCATATCATTCGATTCACCTCGTCGAGCTGAGTCGTACGGTACCACTCACAATTTCAGGAGTGGATTATGGACCGAGTTATATTATACCAAAATCGACCTTACTCCCCCCATGGTTTTTCAATATTTCGTGAGCTATAACCGTCCAGAATCTTTTCCTGAAATTGGGAGTGGACCGTTCAACTCAGCTCGTCGAGACGAATCGAATGACCTATGTCACGTTCCAAACTTTTACCTCGGTACACTACCTAAAGGAAAAAAGGGGAAACACAATCTTAACTATTACCAAAAAACTTTTTTCAATCTTATTTAGAAATATTCTATTCCGACTTTGAGCTCTCGTCGTGATTTAATGTCTTGTGCGCAAACTGGATCTGGAAAGTTTGTTTAACTTCTTTTTTTTCTATAATTATTTTTTTAGAACTGCTGCATTTCTTCTTCCAGTCATAAATTCAATTCTTCGAGATGGACCTTCAAAAGTTAAACCGGTTGTTTTTTCTTTTTAATTTGCCTAATAAATTTATATAGAAAACCATTGAAAATAAAAGTTTCCGTACCTGTCAATATCCTTTGGCTTTAATTATTTCTCCAACACGTGAACTTTCTCTTCAAATCTACAATGAATCGCGAAAATTTTCTTATCGTACGCCGATCACTTCTGCCCTGTTGTATGGAGGGCGGGAGAACTATCGTGACCAAATCAACAAATTACGGGTCAATAATACATTTCATTATTCCCACGCACATTTTTAACTAACTCAACCTAACGTTTATTTTGATACGGAGAACGCATAATACATACATATTACTATGTTCGGCGTAGGCGAAATACAAGGATCGGAAGCCCATGTTGGGTTTTTCGGTACGGTGTTTTGGATCTGTCTAGCGAATTATTGATTTTTATTAATTAAATTTCTTAACGACTTACAATCGTTTATAAACCGTGGTTTAAAAATAAAAATTGGAAAACGTGCAAACGTTGGCTGAACGATGTCATCGACTTGAGGTGAATGAAATTAATCGATAATTCTGAACAAAAACCCTTTCTCTCAATTTGTCACAATTTTGTACAGCTAATTCGTCTTTATATTTCGTTCGACACAGCTGATCCTTTAAATAATTTTTACAAATTTTTCAATTTTTATAATAAATACCGTCTGATTGATTAAAAATGTGCATTGGGATAATGCGGAGTTACCTAATTTTATTTTAATTTTTGGCTATTTTAGTTAGGTTGTCACATTTTAATTGCTACACCAGGTCGTTTAATTGATGTTATGCAGAATGGCTATATTGCTTTGACTTCTTGTCATTATCTTGTTTTAGATGAAGCTGATCGTATGTTAGGTTTGTTTTTGATTTTTTGTTAGATATTTGTATAAATATTAAGATATGGGGTTTGAGCCCCAAATTCGTCAAATTGTTGAAGCTTCAAATATGCCAGTTAAAGGAGAACGAATTACAGGTTTGTTAGCTAATATTTTTTAATTCATAAATGATTTTTGAAGCAATGTTTTCTGCCACCTTCCCAAAGGAAATACAAGTTTTAGCTCAGGATTTTCTAATGCCTGATTATGTAAATTTTCAAATATTTAAAATTAATTTTCAATTTTTAGGTGTTTCTTGCTGTTGGACGTGTTGGTTCAACATCTGAAAATATTCGTCAGAACGGTTTGTATTGTAATTTTGTTTCAATATTTTCTTATTTAATAGTTCTTTGGGTCGAAGAACATAACAAAAAACACCTTTTGGCCGGTATTTTATTTTAATTTTTCCTAAAAAATATTTTTTGACTAATTTTAGATTTGTTGGATGGCAGTGAACCTGATGCTTTGACTCTAATTTTTGTTGAAACAAAGCGTGGATGTAGCGATGTCTGTTAGTTATTTTATTTTTGTATTACGTTTATTTATAGCTTGCTTATCTACTCCAACGTGATGGCTATCAATGTGTTGCAATTCATGGAGATTTGAAGCAGATGGATCGTGAACGTCATTTGGATAGTTTTCGAATTGGATCGACACCAATACTTGTTGCTACAGCTGTTGCAGCTAGAGGACTTGATATTCCGAATGTTAAACATGTGATAAATTATGACCTTCCAAACAGTCTATTTTACTATTTTTTCTAACCTTCTTAATTCTTCTTTTAAAGATATTGATGAATATGTTCATAGGATTGGACGTACAGGACGTGTGGGAAATATTGGTTTAATTTGTATTGTTTGGTTTTTATTTTGTTATTTTTTGAGGATTGGCAACTTCATTTTTTAATGACAAAAATAGAAATATTACTCATGAGTTGGCTGAATTAATTGTTGAAACTAATCAGGTTTTTTGAAATTTTTTAGATAATTTACCTGACTTTATTTTTAGCAATTACCCGATTGGCTTGAACAAATTTCTCGCGAGTCAGGCAAATATGGAGGTGTTCGGACTCATGGAGGCGGTGGTGGGCGGCGTGGTGGAAGTTCAAATCGTTTTGGAGGGTTAGTCTAATAAAATATTTAGAAATTCGTTTAAAAATAAATAAATAGACGTGACCATCGTGTGCAGTACACTCCACAAGTTCGTGTTGGTGGTGGAATGCATCAATTTGGTCATCAAAATAATGATTGGCGTGGAAATGGGTTTGTGGCAAATCCAGTCGGTTTTGTGCCAAATTCAGGCGTTGGAAGTACTTCTGCTTCTCCGCGTATTTCTGCTATACCACAGCAGCAGCAACAACATAAACCGGTGAATCGGGCCCCTCAACAAATTCAACAGGTCAGTATAACTAAATTGTATATTAGATTAGTTTTAACATAGGTTTAAATAACCATCTCGAATTATATCCAAAAATTTGTCATGTTAATATCTGAACCATCGTGTAGAGTAAATTTCCTATTTATTTTTTTATTCTTTTATTAAGAGTTGATTAAAGAAAGAATATGTACCATCGATTTTAATGACAACTAGTTTTAAGACCGGAAATTTTAATATTTTTTGCTAAAAATACTGAAACCGTAGTTATTTAAGATTTGGATTAACCTAAAATCAACAGTACCGGTTAATAGCCGGTTGTTTTCCAATATACTATGGTTTATATTGAAATGTCTAATTTTTGTTTATAGTCCTTTGTTTTCTGTTTAAGTTATCTGTTTCAGCGGATTTTAAGCGGACCTTGAAATTCTATTTTTAATTCTAATTCTCTTTTAGAATTCCCTTTTTATTCTTCTATTCTTTATCCGAGTAATTACATATCCCTTTTTGCAGAATTGGTGGGATTAGGATATACACATAATGAAGGACAACATAAATTGGCAGCTCTTTTCACATCCTGAAGTCCGATACTTGCAGATAAAAACTATTTTTAGGGCTAATATATAATAATATAATTTTTTACTACTTCTTATCTCTTTTTTATATATATATTTATGTTACACTTAATTTGGATTATTATTTTTTTATCTGCCGCCAAAATTGATCTAAAATTATTTTTGTGCGTCTTTATTGTAATATTATTAATATATTACGTGTGTAACACCTTTTTTTTTATTTCTTTTACTCGTCGGACTTCAATATATTATATATTTATTTTTCATAATATACTAATTAAGAGAAAGGATTTTAAGTTTTATATATAAGTAATTTAAGGACCAAAAATAATTTTTAAGTTTTTGTTTTGTTTATGTATTTGGTTTGTGTCTCAATAAGTTGAGATGAGATCTCTATCGAAAATTTCGGTTATCGAGATTTCTGTTTATGAACGAGTTTTTTGTTGAAATTAAGCTAAAACTTCAAAATTGGACTTTATTTGCATTACCCAAAAAATTATCAAATAATATTTTTGAAAAATCTTTTTTCGAAACGCTCTACCCCTGGTCTGTATATTTTCTTGGATCACTTTAAATTTTCAACTACCATATAAAAATTAAGAAAACATGAATTTTAAGATGAAAAAGAAAATAGGAATCCTCTTTTCTAATATCGCAAGCGAAAAATTTAGAATTTAATATGTCCTATAATCCTTATTTCGTCCTATTTAGCGTCACGTGAAAATTCTTGGATCTTGAGCTAAAAATCAAGCTCCAGAGAATTCATTTAACTCTGTAGGGAAAATACCCTGAATGATCAGGGAAATTCTAGTCACTGGATTCTAGCAAATTCTGCCATTACTGAAAGCCGAACCTTACCTTTGATTATCTGGAACCGATATCCAGATCAAAATTTTCTGACAATCCAGTTATTTCTGTCCAACCAGTTTTCTGAATCAAAAAGAAAAACCTGGTTTGAACGTTATTAAGAGAAAAAGGAACGAAGAAAAATGCGAAAATAAAAAGTGGCCAGATACATAAAATGTTTATGCATTTATCAAAGTAATAATAATTTTTTAAATTTATTTTTATTTTGTTACCAAAATTATGTTTTGTCATTTTTCCTTCATTTTCAAATGTGAAAATTGTTTCATTTTTTAAAATTTGTTTTTATATTTCCTTTATCTCTTCATACAGTCAAACTTTGTTTGTTTTTGTTAAAAATTATGGGGAGTGAGTTTTTGTCAATTTTTTATTTAAATATAATGAAAGATAAATTGTGTTTTTTATATTTTTAAATTTTTATTTAAATTTGTTTTGAGGAACATTAAATATTTTTTTAAATATGTTTTCAGAAAAATATTATTTTTTAAAGACTGAATGCTTTTATTTTTTGCATAATATATTATTTTGAACAGCTAAAATGGATATTCACAATCAAAAAGCACAGCGTTTGCCTGTCTTTGTTCAACCGGGTAAAAAAATTTTTTTTAAGAAAATTATAAAAAATATACATATAACCATCTTTCAGGTGAAATCAATTTCATAGTCGACAAACCAGATACCCAAAAATCTTTGCTGACAATTTTCAATCCTTATCCTTTCCCTATTTACTTTCGAGGTATTTTTAAAGGGAAAATTGTAAAAAAATTAAATTTTCCCTTAGTTCTTTGTAATGCGCCTTCTAATTATGCTCTCGGCCTTACTAAAGGAACGATTCGTGCCGGGTGTTATATTGATATGTAATGAATTTTTGAATTCAAAAATTAATTTAATTTTTAAGTACAATAAGGCACAGAAATCCAACAGTTATTGGAAGTGATTGTTTAAGAATAGAAATTTGTTCTTTAAATGATTCTGCGGTCAGTAGAAATTTGTTTACTTTTGAGGAGATTTATTGGGGGATATAGATGCTGGTAAAAACAATGACAACTATCCGCAGCTAGAGATATTTTTATGAATTTGAGTCTGAGTTTTGTGCAGCAAGCATTCCAACTATGAAGAAAACTCATACTCAAATACCTGAAAATATCTCTAGCTGCGGATAGTTGTCATTGTTTTTACCATTTTACCAGCAAGAGAGATTCATTTACCGATTTGCCCCCAATGACTAAAAATTTTTTTACATGGAAGTCCAAAATCCACCCAATCCTCTTCTGATTTTTGTACTGTTCGCTTACCTCTATAATCCGTGTCGTACAAGCTACAAGTTTTTATCACTTGAAACACCACCCGGAGCATTTAGGGGAGGGAACAAAATTACTGATACACCCATATTTTCAATTTCTTTTTTTTAAAGCTTTCCGGAATTAAATCAATCCAATTAAATACATTAAAAACTTCAATTCCATCAAAAAATGTTTCTTCAACTTCAATGTTGGAATTTGATGAAAATGAACTTCCAACAACGAGTAGACAAGCAACAATAAATTCTAATAGATCAATACATAAATTCTCTGCAAATATTAATAGAGGAAGAAGGAATGATGGAGGGGGAATTGCAGAAAATGTAATGAAAAATAAAATAAAAATAGGGGAATATTTTTACCCGTTTTGGTCTTTTACTTTATTCCCGGAATTTCTAAATTAATTAAAAATTTATTTTATCCTCAATCTTAGGCATAAATTTTGAAGTAAAAAAAATTTATTTTTAGAATACTCAAAGCTTTTACTGGCTGGCAGTAATTTCATTTCTTTTTTGTGTTTCTGTTCTTTTAACTCCAAGATGGATAGATCCAGAACAACAACAGCAATATACTTTTATTCCGAATTGGCTACGGCCATCAGTAACCGGTCAATGTGTTGCTAGTTATGTTTTGGGGGTAAGGAATTTTGGTACTTTATGGATATGTCACCCCCCCCTCCTATTTTGAGTCTCACAGTTTTCCTTGAACGTATAAAATGGTCAGAGATTATTTTCTTCTCCATGTCAATCATTTTTCTTTTTTCAAGCAAAACAAGTGAAATGTGGTAAATGTAGAAACGAAATGAGTGAAATGTAAGTACAAAATATGTGAAAAGGCAAAATAAACAAAGCAAAATACTTGAAGAAGAAAAAAATGATTGACATGGAGAAGAGATAATCTCTGACCATTTTATACGTTTAAGGAAAACTCTGAGACTCAAAATAGGAGGGGGGTGACATATCCATAAAGTACCGGAATTTTAAAATAATTTAAAAGTGGGTTGTTTTGAAGAAAATACAAAATTGATGGCTAAGGATTAAAGAAAATGTAAATAAAAATTGGGAAATCTTAATAAATTTAAATTGAAATTCCTAAGAAAATTCTGATGTGGCCTCAAAATTAAAAATTAGTCTTTCTCTAAGGCCTCAGGTCAGATTTTCCAGTGTCATTAATAGCCTTATTTATTAGTTATTAAAAAGGTTATAAAGGCTAGATAAAGGCTCTCAGTCGAAAATCTTGGTTATTTATCGAGATCCAAATTTTTCGATTCTCGTACGTCCCAGTTCGATCTCTAATAAATTTAATTTTTTTTCTCATTTCAGATCCTCACAGTTTACTTTTTTCTACAGCCAGTTGCAATTTAAATGTTAATGAAAAGTTGGAAATACTTGCAATTTTTGTGAAATAATTCTACATTAAAATAAATGAATCTGAATTGAATTAAAAAAATATATATTTAAATGATTCGTTAACCTCATTTAAATTCTTTTCCCTTTCAATTTAAAAAATTTTATTAAGTATTCTACTTTAGAAAATTTTCAATACTTCAATCTGTATATTTCAATTTTTCTACTCAATGTAATAATTATATAAACAAAAGTACATATATAATCATTTAAAAATTAATAAACATTTTTTTAATAATTTTTTGTTCAAAATTACACTAAATTAATTCATGGCTTCGATATCTGCGGATTTTTCCTCATTTTGTGATTTTTTGATAGGTCAATGAGGATTATTTTTAAAAATACGGATTTGCGGATTTTTGTGGTCTTTTTAAGATTATGAGGATTTTTTATATTTTCTTATAGTTTTTAGGATAATTCTCAATAACAAAATTGTTTGGAATTGAACGAGAGTTCACAATTAAATTTTAAAATTAAATCCTTCAATTTAAATTATTTTTAAGAATTAAATTCCTCACCAATTGTTTTAATGGCAAGGAGCCAGCCTTCCTCCATTTTGTCCTTAACTTGTTTCTAATTCAACAATTGTTTAAAATTGATCAATATTTATGGATTAAAAGAACGCTTAAAATCCATGTCTCTAAAATTTATCTTCTCTAAATATAACGTGGAGAAATATATCCCACTTTCATCCCAACTTTTATAAAATAATCATAGCATAATTATCTAAGAACATTAAACTTTTGTTCTTATTTATTGAGTTTGTGACTATTATAATCTTGGAAGGGCAAAACACCGTCCTGATACCGACCATATATTAGAGTGAAAAACACCCTCAAGTCTTTTGTCGTTATTTTTTGTTATCTTAATATCTTTAGACGCTTCTGGCTATTAGACATATTTTAAAATATGTTCACTTAAGCGAAATAATTAAGTAGGTGGTGTTTTGACCTGACTTGATAATTTAGATACTTTTTTAAAAACAAACTAAAAATGAGTGGTCATCCAATTCACCGTTCACGTTCCTCTCCAATGATTGCTTGGAACTCCCATTCTCGAGTAAGCTTTTCAAAAATGAAATAATTCCTTAATTAAATATAGTTGGCAAGGACTTATTCAGTCAGTGATATTTCAGCATATACAAATGCTAGCGATTATTTTAAGGTAAAATTTAGAAAGAATTTTTGAGAAACTTCGTGTTTTAGCAACGTTGGTCAACAGCTTATAACCCTTATCACAACAGTCGGACTTATTACTATTGGCCCCACCATCGAAGCAGTTCTCTATACCCCGTAAATATTTTTTTAATTTCTACAAATTCTTCCTCCCTTCCTTTTAAAGATTTATTCAACACATGAAAGTACTCGATATTTTTATGAATCTCCATATTATACTCGAGTACCTACTTTCTATCCCACATGGTATTTAATGAAGATTTTAAATTAAAATATTTTTAAGGGATTTTAATTCAAATTCAAATTACTACACTTATTTACTGGCAAGTTTTAAAATATAAAAAAATATTTTTAGAAAGCTTCTTGATTACCCTCCTCAATAATTGCCCTAGATCAAGGATATGTCCTGCCGTATTTTAAAAATTGGAAGAGATCCCATCCCTGTTAGACATCTTTATTTTGACATAAATTTAAACTAAATTACTAGTAAATTATTTCGAGGATAAGAGAAACTTTTTTTTGTTTTACCTCGTGAAAGTAATTCTTTTTATTCGGACATTGATGTAATTTGAAGGAGGAGATAACCTGTTGTTTGAGAAGGCTACCCGACACTTGAGGATATGACTTTTGAGGACCCGACACTTGAGGACCGACTTTTGAGGACGCGACCTTTGAGGATGCGACTTTTGAGGATGCGACTCTTGAGGACGCGACCTTTGAGGATGCGACCTTTGGGGATGCGACTTTTGAGGATCAGACATTTGAGGATACTCTAATGTCAAAAAAATTAAAAAATATAAAATGTTAATTTTATTTTAAGAAATTTAAATTTTATAATTTTATGGCTTGCTCAAGGCCTAACGAGCAAATAATGATCATTATTAATAATAATCATTTCAGTTTTCGAAGTAGTCCGTATCCATCCGTATTTTGTCTTTTTGGACCTTGAGTGATATCGGGAAATTTCAAGGGGTCAAAGTGAATATAAAGGGATTGATTTAGGCCTGATATCGTGGTATTAAGTAGAGTTGCACGAGGTCGAGGCCTCGCCGAGGCCGAGATCCTCGCCAATTTTGCAATCTCGGTCTCGGATTGATCGACCTCGGGCCTCTTTGCAGACAGGTAGGACACCAACCGGACATTTACCTCTTAATCCTGTATCCATCCAGACATCGAGGTATTCTTCCGATATCCATTCGAATCCGATATCATTATTTGGGTGTGATATCGAAAGATCAATAGGGTTCCTCCTTTGATAACACGTAAATCCCCTTTGATCAATTCAGACCCAATTTATCACCCGATATCAAACCTTTTATACCCAACAAATTCACTTATACACCACTCTAGTCGTTAATAACTCCTTAATCCTCGGAAACTTTTCGGTTCGGTCCCGGATATCCAAAAATTTTTGGTTCGGTTTAGGGTATCCAAAGAATTTCTAGGAACCGACAAGCCTATTCGATTAATCAATATTTTCAACATTAAATTTTTTAATTCATATTCAAAATTTCTAATATTCAAAATTTCAACTACTTAGAAAACTGAAATGATTATTATTAATAATGATCATTTTTTGCTCGTTAGGCCTTGAGCAAGCCATAAAATTATAAAATTTAAATTTCTTAAAATAAGATTAACATTTTATATTTTTTAATTTTTTTGACATTAGAGTATCCTCAAATGTCTGATCCTCAAAAGTCGCATCCCCAAAGGTCGCATCCTCAAAGGTCGCGTCCTCAAGAGTCGCATCCTCAAAAGTCGCATCCTCAAAGGTCGCGTCCTCAAAAGTCGGTCCTCAAGTGTCGGGTCCTCAAAAGTCATATCCTCATGTGTCGCGCCACGGTTTGAGAAACCTTATAATTAATAGACATTGTATTTATAAAGATTTCTGACTTTTTTTTAAAAACGTTTAGGACACTGTTCGCGCTGTTTACCGTCCAGCTCCTTATGGCTATGGAAGTACTTATACATATAGAACATATTGGCCTTGGGTGGGGATTTTAACAAATTTGTCGAAAATATTTTAAAATTTATTTTACAGAGAGGAAATATTCGTTATCACCAACGGCAAGTTTATTAAAAAATTAAGAATTTCAAAAAAAAATTTTTCAGATTTGACTGAATTTATGAAAAATCTACATCAAAAATTTACTTTGCCAATAAAAAATTATATAAAAACTTTAATTTTTGTAGAAATTGAAAGAATAAAATTTTATATTCAAAAATTGTTTAAAGGGTTTATTTTCCCCTAACATTGTTGACTATAGATAGGTAGTAGAGCTTCTCCGGAAGTTTCGGGATTTTTTGGTTTTGTAAAGTTCCGGTTCCGGCCAAATTTTCTGTCCCGGTGAAGCACTTATGGGTAGTGAGGGGAATGACAATCTTGCCTCTCTAAGATTCATCCAGTTTTTTAAATATTTCCTGGTTTTGGATTGTTGTTTTATTGCATCTGGCCAAGAAACAAGACTTCTTCCTTTTTAGCGCTTTAGCGCTCTGATTAGAAAGCTAGCATTAAATTAAAAAGCTAGCTCCCTGAAAATGCTGACCCTGACTCGGGATGTCGAGGATCTGAGTTATGAATTTGAGAAAACGTGGGGGACGGCTCCGTCCATATCCGCGAATATCCGCGGATATATCCTACCCGTGAGCACGTCTGATTTTAAATAGAAAAGTCCTCTCCTTTCTTAAAGGCAGTTAAAAATCCTTTTTAAATTTGCACTTAAATTTACTGTCAAAATAAAAGTTTGGCATAATGTTTAATTTTTTGACATTTTATCCAAGATCTCAAAATTTGCTATAAAAGTGTGGTTTTCTAATTTTTTGTCATTTTTAGCTGCTTGCAATTAGCATTCTTCTACATATACTTAATTTTTGTTGTATTTATTATGTAATAATTGTAGTTTTTAGGGGCTAGTATTATTTATAAATTGGTTTTTTTTCTGTATTTAAGCTTAACGAGAAGTAACTACACTATTTATTCTTTTGGGGGTTGAACTTTTTTGTGATTCTTATTAGGTTTAATTCTGACGTTCCCTATTTCTCTATTTAAGTTCTGGATCCTTCGCGTTGGAACATATTTTGCGGACATGTGGGCCGATAAACGGATGGTACCCACATTTTCCCTGATAGGCACCTTTTATACTTTCTAGAGGATTTTCTTTGTGTTTCAATCCTCTAGTATTTATTTTTACATCATTTCCCCGTTTATAATTTCTTTTTCAGTATTACATATTATCTTCTTACGCTTAATTTTCTTTCAACAATAATGACGGAGACAATGTTGGATTGCTCTGACAAGGTGACTGAGACCAAGGAAGAACTTGTTCAGCTTGCCAAACTCGCCGAACAGGCTGAGCGTTATGATGACATGGCAGAGTCAATGAAGAAGGTTACCGAATTTGGAGACGAACTGTCTAATGAGGAGCGTAATCTTCTCTCGGTTTTTATCTTTCTGATTTGTTAAATTTAAGTAATTTCGCAGGTTGCTTATAAGAATGTTGTTGGGGCTCGTCGTTCTTCTTGGCGTGTGCTTTCGTCTATTGAGCAAAAGACCGAAGGGGGGAAGAAGACGATGAGTAAGGAATACCGTGAGAAGATTGAATGTGAATTGCGTGACATTTGCAAAGGTGTTATGGTAAGCTTAACTTTTTGTCAAGTTGATAGTTGGGAATAAAGCATAAATAGCTGGAAGGTAGTCTGGATTTTCGTTAACTCTTAAGATCATTGATCTCTGGAAAATATAAGTATTTTGATCGGTATCTACTCACAACTTGGGTATTGTGACTTATAGCGGGTTTTTTGTTTCTGAACCGATTTCGACAATTGAGGTGTCATTCGAAAGAGCTTCGAAAACTGAGTCGAACTAGATACGGGGGAAGTCTATCCGACAATCAGGGACCGAGTTACAGACCCCTGAAATTTGAAAAAGAGAAGGGGGGAGTAAGCTGATTTCGAGGTGAAAAATTCAAAAATGCAAATAATAGCTCATTCGACTCGGCTCAACGAGCTGAGTCGAATGACACCAAAATCACCGAAATCTGACTTGATTGGACAAAGTTATGATCGTTTGTTTTAGCTCCTTACCTATGGTCTATGTGGAGGTTTTTGCTGCTACGGAGGCCAAATTATGTCCAGAACAAGGGAAATAGGAATAGGTTTATGTTACTGAACCAGACCCAGCGGCCGTTGACTCCCCGCGAGGCGCGTGCCGCAAAACCCCGCGCGAAGCGCGGGGTTTTGCACAAGCGCCTCGCCTACGCCCCATAGGTTTACGTCGACCATTTTGAACCTGTTTCTTGGCTCAGAATCAAGATATCGAGCTGATTTTGGTGTCATTCGACTCAGCTCGTCGTTCTGAGTCGAATGAGCTATTATTTGCATTTTTGAATTTTTCACCTCGAAATCAGCTTACTCCCCCCTTCAATTTTTCAAACTTCAGGGGTCTGTAACTCGGTCCCTGATTGTCGGATCGACTTCCCCCGTATCTAGTTCGATTCAGTTTTCGAAGCTCTTTCGAATGACACCTCATTTGTCGAAATCGGTTCAGAAACAAAAAACCCGCTATAAGTCACAACATTCCATAACTTGAAGAGAGATGTAGAATACTTATAGTTGGGAAAACTGGTTTCGGACTTTATTTTTTTTTGCGATGCTGTACAACTTTTTTTATCCACTTCATATCCCGTTTTAGGAAGATACCGCTGACTTTAGAATAGAAAAATTCAATTAATTTTCAGAATCTTCTGGACAAATTTCTTATTCCGAAAGCTGGAACTCCTGATTCTAAAGTGTTCTACCTTAAGATGAAGGGCGACTACTATCGTTACTTGGCTGAGGTTTCTTCTGGTGATGAGTTGACTGGTTTGTTGGAAATCAAATTATTCTTTAAAAATCCTTTCAGATGTTATCGACAAATCACAACAGAGTTACCAAGAGGCTTTCGGTTTGATTTGTTGATTTTTGAAAAAATATTTTCACCTTAAAGATATTGCTAAGGACAAAATGCCGCCGACTCATCCAATTCGTCTTGGCCTGGCTCTCAACTTTTCGGTCTTCTACTTTGAGATTCTCGACAATAAGAGCAAGGCTTGTCAGTTGGCTAAGCAGGTTTTTTGATTGATAATTTTGAATAATTTCTTAAAATATGTTTTAGTCTTTTGACGAGGCCGTTGCTGAGTTGGACACTCTTGACGAGAATTTGTACAAGGACTCGACTCTCATTATGCAACTTCTTCGCGACAATTTGACTCTGTGGACTTCTGATGGCGGCGTTGAGGAACCGGAGACGGCTCCAATTGTTGCTGATGCCGAAGGCACAAATTAAGTGAAGGAGAGGGAGGAGTAAATAATTAAATGGTAAAGAAAGGAAAATATAAGGAAAGACAATTTTTTAAATTTATTTGAGTATTTGTTTGTTTATGATTATATTTTTGTCTTTCGACCATCTAAAAAAGTTGGATAATTTAAATTTTGTTGGGTAAATATTTGGATTAATTTTGGATTATTTTTAAATGTTAGGTAAAAATTGAGTTTATTAGAGGGTGTTGATTTTCCTTAAAAACAGTCAAAAAAGCCCATTAAAAGAAATTTTTAATCTCATGTTGCGATACTTTTTTTGTAAAAATTATGCCTATCCTTGTCAAAAAGAAAAGAATGTCAAATTGTTGCTAATTGTAAGAGCGTGCTTCTTTGAAGTTGTAGTATTCCTTGTGTATTCCCTTCTAACTTGAGTTCCTAGGTTCTAGTATTCCTATACAGTAGTCCTCATATCTGCGAAGCGATTGTTAACAAAAACAAATTGCTGGGTTGACTGAGGGCGACAAAAATATTAATTAAAGTGTTCTACCAAAAATTTGACATGCGATAAATTTCGTGAGAAGTTTGTTTTGGATTTTTCCCTTAGAAATTTGACATTAAATAAGTTTAAAAAAAGTAAAAAGTTTTTTTAATCTAAAAAATTTTAGCAAATAAAAATTTAATTTTGTAAAGACTAATTGTTAACAAATACATATTATGCAATGAAATTAAAAAAAAATTTTATTAGACAAGACGGCCAATAAATTGAGTTTTGTTGTATTTCTCTTTTAAAGAAGGCCATTGAACAAGAAAAGCATCGGGTATATTTAAATGATAAAGAATACCTAAGAAATTTTATTTCACAAAATTTAAAAGAAAATTAAAAACAAACGTCCAGTAAGTGAAAGTGTTTGGACTCTACATATTGACTCGACAAAAATAATTTTAATTCTTTTTATTCTTAAAAAATTGAAGAGACGGGCAAACAAACAAATTGGTAAACAAATTGCTGGGCCATTACAAAGTATTAAATCTGGGCTAGAAAATTATTTTGTTTTAAAGAGTAGGAAATATTTACAGAATTATTAGATCCAGGCCCGTAGCCAGGATTTTTTAAATTTTATTTCAAAAAACTTTTTTAATTAAAGGAAGGACCCAATTAAAGATAATTTCAAACAAAATTTTTCAGGGAGGGGTGGGGGAGAACTCCCCCTGGCTACGGGCCTGATTACCCTGTGGCTGGTCAAAAAGAGAAGAGAGAAAGGAAAAGTCCGCCACAGGGAAAGATAAACCTCGAATTAAACGGTCTCATCCAACCCTATTTAAAAAGGAAGAAAAAGTTTAACGTTTATAATCTAGAGACCGAAAAATGCCAAAATGGATTAAAGATAATTTCAAACAAAATTTCGATTTTCAAAACTTTATTCGGTCCTCAGGTCTCTACAAAAAACTGACGTTATATTTTTAGAGAAAAATTATTTTTTAGAGAATTTGTTTGACTTTTCAATGTCTAAAAATTTTTTTGATTTTTTTCGCCTTTTGATAAAAAATCTAATCTTTTTCCAAACGAAAAATAAAGAGAAATAATTTCAAAAAGTTTACAAATTTTAGCCCATTAAAAAATCAAATTTTCTTCATATTTAAAAAAAACTCACCTAGTTATCCTTAAAAGTTTTGCAGAATGCCAAGAAGCTATTAAAGTTGTTAGAATAGAAGAACAATAGGATTGTCCAACATTCCTGGCTCTTGGAATTTTGTAAGTTAAAAAATTATTTTTTCCAATTTGTTTTTCAAAATCAGAAACCTTTAAAAAAGATTATTTAAAAAAATATATAAAAAAAATTCCCCACTTTTGTATAACTCAATTTATCAGAATCAGCAATTACATAAATTCTATCAGAAAATAAATTGCTGTCAATTGTTGAAATAAGCAATTTAAGCATTTCTGTTGTATCTTTTTAAGAAATAAAAAAAATTTCAAAAAGTTTTTTAAAATTTAAAAAAAAATTTTTTTGGCTCTTGTCCGGATTAGGCGTCCAAACACATACAAATACTCCACGTTTGCGGCTTCAGTAATTAGACTACACTTCTATCTACGATAGATTCACATTAGTACCATAAAAACTTTTGGTGAGAAGAGCTCTACTCACCAAGAGTTAAGGTACACATGAGCAGTAGAGGACCAATGATCTAGAACGGAGAACCGGGTACTTATTGACGTAGATTGGACATATAAAAATAAATTTGTTTGGACGCTTAAACTGGTAAAAAAAATTTTTAATTTCCAAAAGAATTTTTTTTAATAATTAATTTTCAAAAAAATAATTAATTTATTTACGTCCTCCAGAGCCAATTATTGCCATCAATTTTAAATTCCCATTTTCATCAACTAAAAATAATTAAAATTTATTTAGAAAATACAAAAATTTACCTTTATTATTTTCCTTTTCTTTCAATAAACGTAAAGAAACATTTAAAATAAATAAAAAAATATTTAAAATTAAAAGTGAAGTAATAAATAAAGAAATTAATTGTAAAAAAGAAAAAGCTTCAAACATTTAATGGGGAAAGAGGGAAATCTAAAAAAATTAATTTAAAAAATAAAAAGGCCCACCCTAAATGCCTACAACATTTTGAAGGATAATATCGAATGGCTTAAAAGGATTAAGGGGAATCTTTATGGCGATAAGTATCAAGTTCCGTATTTTAGAAACTGTGTTCCAGTGTTGTGCGTGTAACGTAACTTCAGGTAAGCAGAGCTCACTAAGGGCGTAGCCAGGGGGCGATTTCGTTGTGGAGAGGGGAAAGGCTTACTCCCTTACTACACCCTTGGAGCTCTCTATCCCCTTCCAATCACTCCAAATCATCTTTAATTCCTCCATTAAATCCTTCCTCAATATTCCCTTTCAAAACGTTGTAGCCATTCGGGGTTGGCTCTAAATAGGAATAAATTAAATAAAAAATATTTTAAGTAGTCAAAGCGATTTTCTCGATTTTTTTTTGAAAAATAAAAATAATTTTTAAACATTTAATTCAACAAAAAAATGAAAAAATAAAGAAAAATGTTCAAAAAAATACAAAAATAATTTTTAAAAAATAATAAAAAAATATTTTTAAAAAATTCTTAAAATTGAGAAAATACCCCTTTTTTAATATTATGTTCAAATAATTATACTTTCCGGTTGAATTTCAAGCATTTCGAGTACATCCAAATGCTTAAAAAAATTATTATAAAAAATAAAAATTAAATTTAAATAAAAAAACATACAACATCTGATATATTTTCCCCATTTTCAGATAAATAAGAAAATAAAGAATCAAGTCTGGCCAATCGGTTGGGGAAAGAACGAAGTACTGAAGTTGCTAGACGGGTCATTCGATATTCTAATAAAATAAAAATTTCAGGAAAATTTAAAAATTAAATTGGTTGATTTAATTTAGATGATTTACCTAAAAATTTAATGTTTGGGAAAATTTCTTTAAAAATTTAAATAATTTTCGAGTATTTAATTTAAAAATATCTTTTATACGGGACACGCACAAGTAGGCGTGCGGCCATAACGGCGCAAAGCCATTACCTGCTGAAAAATTTCTGGACCTTATCATTTGGTACCAATCTCTTTAGTCGATTATTACTGTTTGGTAAGATTCCTAAATCTTAAAGCAAGTTATGGCCGCGCGTTTAATTGGGATGTATCCTTTCTATGTGTCCAAAGTCAGTAATATAATTCTCATATTTTTTTTGTTCTACCTATGTAATTTTTAAAAACAATCATTAGCTTTTGGGTATACTTTACAAACTTTGGATTCCTAAAGGAAAATAACCAAAAATCCGAAGGAACTCAAAAATTTTTTAAAAAATTTGAAAAAAAACCTGCAGAATATTCCAATTTCCTAATTGGATGTACAACACGGCTTTCAACAAGAAAAGACTCCAATAAACGCAAAAGACCAGTAATTTTTTCTTTATCAGCAATTTCTAAAAGAACATCGAAATTTCTACTAAATGGGAAAATTTAAAAATATTTTTTGAAAAAAATTAAACCTGTGAACAACAGGCGTTGAATAAGCACAACAGGCAGTTAAAAGTTGATTTAATTCATTTACAGTCAAAGATTGGACAACACAATTACTTTCTCCTAAATGATAAAAATTTAAAATAAAAGATTTTTTCGAAGAATACCTTGACTATCCCTTTCATACCATTCTTTAAATAAACGCCCTCCAAATGTGTTTAGTTGATTTGTGTTGACATACCAAGTCCTGTCTGAATTCTAATCAATTTTTTTTGAATTTTCAAAAATTTCAAAAAACTAACCAAAATAGCAAAATTTCGAAAACCGTTAGAAACACTCAAATCTACAAAATATTTTCAAAAATTTTAAAAATAAATTAAAAACCTCCAGGTATTCCAAGCATTTCTCTTACACAAAGGGAAAATTCTAGCCAATCTATAGTACACGAGTTTGTTTCAATTTCTTGTAAAACTTCTTTGTCTTTCCATCTATCACGTTCAATCTATTTAAAAACTTTTTTATCGAAAAAAGTTGGGAAATTCTAAAATTGGGAAATTCTAATGAAAATTAAAAGGGGATTTGACAATTAAATGGGAATTTTTGAAGGAAAGTTTTTTTAGAAATTTTAATATAAAATCAAGAAATAAATTGACATAAAATAAGGAGTTAAATGAATTTTCATTATCATTTAGCTAATTTTATTTTGTTTAAAAAATTAGGTACTTCTCCGTTATATAATTGCAAACTGAGTGCCAACCGAATTTGATCGGTCATAACTTTTTGATGCTTGATCCTATACAAATTAATTTTATAGATCGAAAGCCTCGATAACAGGTATCTTTTTTCCGACTTGATGGATCAGGTCTGATCATTCATTAAAAAGTTATGTCGATAAATCTGAAAACATCGAATACCTCAGTTTTCGTATAACGGAAAAGTACCAAAAAATTATTTTTCTTACCAATTTTGTTTCCGAATCAACAACCAATTTATAATCAACAATAAGTTCATATCCATCCCCTTTTTCATCTCCTGACAAATTGGCTGGTTCTATAGCCAATTCTACTTTTGCATGTTCTTTTTTATTTTCCTCATCCTCTTTTTGACATTCACATTTTTTGGCCTAAATTTTATTTTAAAATTAAAATAAATTTAAAAATTCAAACCGAAAGAATAATTTGAAAAGCACTTTGAGGTATTCTGACAGAAACTGGAGATGTCTCGACGTTAAAACTGAGTCTTTTAAATAGGGAATTCATTCTATAGGTCATCGTTTATTTTTTGTATGAAAATTGTGGCTAAAAAAGAAAATGTTTAAGAATAAATGGGCAAGAAAGCAGCAATTCACAAGCCAAAAAATTTTCAAGAAAAAACAATAAACTATCCAAGGTAAAATAAAAAAACTGTCCCTTCTAAAAAGAAAAAAAGTCAGTAATAGTTGTTTGTGAATCGAAATTGTTATCACTTAAACGAAGATTTTCTATAAATGAGTAGGATTGCTGGCCCGGTCCGAAAAAACGAGCCGTGCATTGAATTTTAGCCCGAAAAAGACTCGGTCGGGCCGGCCCGATAAAAATGAGGGTGATAAAATGAATCAAACGTCTGCCCGAATCGAAAACGGTAATCCTATTGAGAAGTGATATTTTGGAAGGAAAAAGGAATTTTGGGAACTGAGGGGAAACATAAAAGTAACTATTACTGGAAAGTCCAAAAAATTTAATAAAAAAAATTAGCAGTATTTTGTGAATTGCCCCTCTCTAGAAATACATCAATTTAAATAAATTAAGATATCCAAATTGAAAATATAACAATTTGATTTAAAAAAAGACAAAAATTGTCTAAAATAGTTTTTATACAAACATAATAAATTGAAAAAAATATAATTTGAAAAAAAATCCATTTTTAAATTTAAAATGGCTAATTAGTCTTATACATTTATATAGGTATTTATTTATATGCTTTTTTGGAAAAAATTAAAAAGCTTTCTATAAGCTTTTTTTTAAATTTATATTCAAATTAAATAGGTTTATAAAGTAGTGTTGTCACATATTTCTTTCGATGTCGATGAGTTGCACTCAACACCTTTAAAAAATAAAAAAGAAAAATGAGGTAGTCTAATAAGATAAGGCTTTAAGAGATAAATAACTTTTGTTAACTTATTAACATATCTGACACACTTAAAAATTATTGGGGCTTATGTTCACAAGGGAACATTTCGAATTGTGGCCAAAAATTTAATTTTTTTGGCTCTACAAGATGGTACAACTCTTATTTAAAAATTTTTATCACAGTTCGAAATGTTCCCTCGTCAGTGCTTGGACGCTCGTACCAAAACCCCGTAGTTGGTACGAGCAAAAAATAATAGTGGTATGATTATGGTAAATACAAGATTTCCAATCACTATTTATGTTAAAAAGTCAACTAATTGTAAATATGGTTAACAATATTATGCCAGAAAATTAATATTATTTTTAACGACCTTTAAAATCCAGAAATAAACTAATAAAAGTTTTAAACCCACCCCCCAAATATTATACTACAATTTTAAAATTAAAAAAACAACAAACCATAACGCCATCCTTAATGGAAAGTGCGTAAAGATGATTGAGCATTACATGATTTGGTTCAGGCAGAACATTTGGATCGCATTGTACAGGAGTGTCTTTGTTCAGAATAACCTTTGAAAATTAATTAAATAAGATTTTTGAAAGTAATAAAATACTTGCAAAAGATGAGGTGGCAAAATTGGAGGATTCGAAGCTTTCTCTAAAATTAAAAATTAATTAGACAATTAAAATTTTTCAAAAGAAAAAGGGCAAAAATAGTCAAGAAAATTCAATGAAATAAGAAATTCGCAGGCCTGGAGAATTTAAAAAACTTAGAATCGTGGAATTTATCTACGAAAACACATTTCATAAAAATTAGAAACACCGTTAAAAATTAAAAATTTAAAAAAAAGGCCGTTTTGATGGAAAGGGTCAAAAAACTGTACAAAACTCCTATAAACAAAAACAAACCAAAATCTCGTCTATCAGGAAGTTGTTGAGTAAATTCCCGCAACCTTTCCAATTCTCGATCATTTGGAGTGTCATGTGTTGGCTGTGCAGCTCCAGTTGTATTCATCATTCGCATCGCTTCTCCAGCATTGCTAGCTTGTAAGTCTTTGTCCAAAGCATCAAAAACCTTTTTAAAAAATTTTTTTAACGAAATTTCAAAAAAATTAAAAAATACAGCAAAATCCTGTTCGTCAATTGAGATAACATTATTTTGACTCCCCATTGGATTGTCAGTTTTAACACCAGAATCATCAACCATCCAACGACCGTCAACCAAAAATTTATATTCATAACGACCTATTTAGGTTTAAATAAAAATAAATTAGAAATTAAAAAATGAAACCTGGACAGAGATCAATTATGGTAGTAAAATCGTTGGTAGATTTGACAAGTGGAATTTTTCTTTTCCAATTGTCCCAGGAACCCTGTAAATTAAAAATGAATTTCAATAATTTATGGAAAGCTATGAAGGCAAAAGGAAAAATGTCACAAATATATTAATAACTTCCTCTAACAAGAAAATGTTGCGAGGTGTCCAACCTAAAAACAGTCGAGACCAGGCTTATTCGATAGAGAATGTGCCCTTTCTAGCAAAGATCTTGTGCCGTTTTTTGATCTGGAGAGCCATATCTTGGCCAGATCAAAAAAGGGCAAAAGATCTTTGCTAAACTAAGAGCACATTCTTTATCAAATAAGCCTGGTCTCGACCGTTTTTAGGTCGGACACCTCGCAACATTTTCTTGTTAGAATTCTAGGCTATTTAAAAATATTACCGTTAAGTAAACATGTTTCGCATTTTGTGATTGAGAAGTCCATTTAAAAACAACAGGGCATTCATTTGCCGATAAATGCTCCAAAGCATCAGCCAACTCTGCTTTAGCTATTTTCATCTAAAATTAAAAAGATTTTTTACAAAAATTTTAAACAAAAAAAACTTGAACAGGACAACCATCATCACCAGTCGAGGACTGACTTTGCAATGCATGATGACCAGAAGATGGAATAGTTGAGGTCGGTGTTGATGGAATTGGACGGCGTTGCGAATCCGAAGCACGCTCTCTTTTGTGTAATCCCCCTTGATTATTGCCCATTGTCTTTTTTTAATTGGACAAATCGCTTTGTAAATATATTATTCCAGTCCAAAAAATTTTATCATAACTTGTCCCTAAAAAAATTCTAGGAAAATTAACGTAAATTTACACTCCCGCTCAAAAGTATTGCCCCAAGCTGGTGGAAAGTTTTCTTTTCCAAATAACTACCTCATTTTCAAAATAATTTTGAATTTATTTTCCCCCAAATAATCTTCTATTAATTAGCTTTAAAATAAGTACAAAAAGTTTGCTTAATTAGAAAAATTTTAAAAGATATGCGATAATAAATAAAACTAGCTGGTTTTCAAGGGTGACAAAAGTATTGCCCCAAAAAATTAATATCATAATTTTCACTCAATAATATATAAACAAGCCTTTAAAAGCATATTTTGTTATTCAAATTAAATAATTAATCATATGTGATGTGATAAATTACGAAAAAACAAAGCAAAAGTCAAAATCTGGAAATTCGAAAATCAACGTAAAACAAGGGTATGCAACTTCAAAAAATATTTTTACCCAATTAAGGCTTACTGCAAAATTTTCTTTTATGCTTGCCTGAAAGCCCGTAAAATTTGCTACAAAATACATGCGGTCTCATATTTGTAAAAAAATTATACTAGGAGTTAAGGAGGAACGAATTACTGAAGAATTAAAAATGAGCATTTTATAGGGTAATTTGAGGGATTTTGACTCCTTAACTCCTATATAAATTTTTTTAAATATATGGGACCAAATATATTTTGTAGCATATGTTAAGGGCTTTCAAGCAAGTATAAAATAAAATTTTATTATAATCCTTAGGTGGGTCAAAATATTTTTTGAAGTTGCTTAGCCCTATTTTCCGTTGTTTTTCAGCTTTCCAGATTTTGACATTTTTCACGTTTCCTTTTCATGTTTAACTTCTCTAACGATAAATTGTTTTATTTTAATAAGCACTATGCTTTTTCAGATATATTTTCTCATTATCAACGACACTTATGAATTTATACATTTTTGGGGCAATACTTTTGACCACCTAAAAAACCAACTACTTTTATTTATTATCCTAGATCTTTTTTAGTATTCCCAATTAGGCAAACATTTCGTGCTTATTTTGAAGCTAATGAATGGAGGATTATTTAGGAAAAAAGGGGATTGGAAATTATTTTGAAAATTAGGTGGTTATTGGCAACAGAAAATTTTCAAACAGCTTGGGGCAATACTTTTGAGCGGGAGTGTATTAAAAAGAAGAAAAAATTTTTTTCACCCCATGATTTTAAAAAAAACATAATGCCAGAAAACTGGAAATAAAGATTATGTGGTTAGAAATAAAAAGAAATAAAGAAATTTAGTGTAAATTTAAATATTTGTTTTTTGCAATTGCAATTGTGATTTTTACAATCTCAACCTCAATTTAATTTTACAAATTCTGATTCTGTTCTATTTCCTTTTGGTACTTGTGAGTTATTCATGACCAGTTTTTGCTGACATTTTTTGCGGACTCACTTGATGTACAGAATGATAAAAGTGAAATTAGGGAAGGTAGGAAGAAAGACTGGTCATTTTGTAAATCAAGTAAGTCCGCAAAAACTGGTCAGGAATAACTCACAAGTACATATGTACCTTTTTAACCCTTAATCTAAATTCATCTTATTACACCTGTCTTTTACCTCTAAATAACTGCTTTTCTTAATTTCTTTTGGTTTAGTAAGTTTGAAAAACTTTTTTTTTACAATTAGGTATTCCTTATTTAGACAAAATAAAAGTTCTCTAGGAAAAATTGCTTTTGTTATCTTTAATATCCAGCTGGGCACTCTTTTTGATTTGTTGTTTTTTCAACACTAAACTTTCAAAAAGGGCAATAAAACTTTAAAAAATTATTTTTTCTTTATCGATTCTAACAAAAATTTTAACCAAATTTTTGTTTTTTCAGTAATTTTTAGAAAAAAATGTTCTGTGGTTGTCTAAATATTAAAAAACGACAAATTTGTTCAGATGACAATTTGTCTTATGGAGATGGAAAAATTTCTAATTCTTCTAATCATAAATCAGAATATGTAAATAGACTAACTCCAAATTCTAAACAAAATAATTTGACCCAAAGTTCCAGCCGTGGATTTTTCAGCTTTGCAAGACGCCGAAAGAAGACACGGAAGGGAGGGTCAAAAGAAGAATTGAGAATGTCGAAGGTTTTTTTAGAATAATATTTTTCGTTTAAAAAATAATTTTAAGCCGCTCTCTTCATCATTGATAAAAGGCAGAAAAACTGGACAGAAAAAAGTATCTTTTTATTGCCAAGATAATTATGGCAAAAATCAATTTATTGAGGATAATGCCGTCTCTTGCCGAGTGGATGAACCTGATGATGAATTGGACACTGATGGGTACTCTAAATTGGAGGGGGAGGATATGCACTTTCGAGAACGATATGACTACCCGACATTTTTGAGGAATGGAAATGGTGGTGGTGGTACAGATGAGCATCTTTATGCGAGTGCTTCACAGACATATTCTTTTTGGAGTGAGGACCCTTATAGGTATCGACTTTTTAATTTGACATATATTATTGACCAAGTTTTTTTTGATTTTGTTTCCCAAAAAATTTAAAATTATTTTTGAAAAAATTTTTTCAGCTCAATCAAAAGCGTAATGGGCGATCGGGCATCGGGTGTTAAAGGCGATGAATCGAGCATCTACGAGCCTGGTTATTCAAAAATTCGAAAAATTCCAGTACAACAGAAGACAAAGTCGTTGAATGTGGATGAGCCGAAAAGTTCTCATGACCTCTATCCAAAGGTAATTTGCTTAATATTTTTGAAATATTTTTTTGTAAAATTCTCATTTTTTCAGATTATTCACAATCAACGTTCTAGAAAAGATTTTAAACCAAATAATCTTCCATCTACTTCAGTAGAAGCTTCTAATAATAATTTGGACAATTCTCAAAAATTCTCTGTCGATGGTAAATCTTTGCTAGACAATCAACAAGATAGTGCTTCTGGGAGTCTGACAAGTGGAAGCCAGCCTTCCTATCGATATTTGACGGGTATAAAAATTTTTTTAATTTAAATTTTATTTTATTCTTTAAATTTTAAGTTCGTGAAAGCCCTCGGATTGTTCGAGAAAGGATTCGACGCCGAGAAGAGGCTGCAGCTGCTGCAGCACTTCTGTTTGAAAATATTATTTTTGAATAATTTCTGAAATTATTTTAGTTCTGAAAACAACGAAAATTCTGAAAGAAATATTGGGGAACGACGACCTGAACATTATTATTCTGAAATTAATGAATATGAATCTGTGGGTTTTGATTGAGAATTTTTAATTTATTTTCAATTAAGGTTGGGGGTGGAAGTTTATACAATAGGCCGAATTCAACGGAACAACTTAACGAAGTTAATGGTTTGTTTTTTTGTGAAAATCTTTTTTTTTAAATTTATTTTTTAAGTCACAACCTTTTCTATTTTATTGGTAATTCTTTGAGTAGATTTTATACTCTGGCTAGCCTATAGAGGAGTATAGGTATAGTATAGTATACCTACATATAGTATACCTACATATAGTATAGTATACCTACATCCTGAGGTGTAGGTTTAGAGGGTGTAGGTAAACTTCAATATCGAATAGCATTTAGAGATCAGAATCTTGAAAAAACCGGGTCCAGGAAACGAGTTCTGAAAGTTGACCGGGAGGACCCGGACCGGGAATTCCCGTTCCCGGCTGCTTCAAAAAACTGGGAAAAGGGTCCGGGAAACGGGTCTGGGTCCCGGACCCGTTCCGATCTCTAATAAGATTCACTAAAATCTCCACCAGACTCCAAAAATTTTTTAAGATTCCTTTATTTAGTTTTTCTAAAAATCTTCATTTATAATTTTAGTAAATATTTAAAATAAATTTCAGGACACTTAAGTACTTCACCTCCAAATCAGAATAATCAATTCAACAAAAATTTGGGAACATCAGAGATGCTTTGTATAGATTTTGGTTTGAATTCGTCTACAGAACCTCCACATCCTCCAACTTCCCCAATTCCAAAAACACTTCCAACAACTTCCTGCTCATCATCTACTGAACCACCTCAATCACTTATTTCAAAACCATCAATTCGTAGACCTGTTGTTTTGCGAATGGCGCCACCTAAGCCAATGAGTACTTTGACTGAGGAATATTCGAAAAAGGTTTTTCTGTTTTTTTTGAGAATTAATTTAGAAATTAGATAAATGTGAATTTCAATTGAACGTGTTTTTGACCTTTCAATCATTAGTTTCTTTTCGTAATCATTTTATTGTAGAGGAGATTGATTACAAAATTGATAAGGACCAGACGCCGAAGGCGCCAAAAATTTTTATTTTCAGTGCCGCAGACGAAAATTTTGAGAATTTCAGAGGCCGTAGGCCAAAAAATTCACTTTTTTTGCCCCAGCTCTTCCCCAAATTTTTTCCTCTTTCCCATTTCGGGGGGGGGGGGGGGGGGGGAATTCCCCCCCCCCCCTGGCTACGGGCCTGATACCAATACTAACCTATTTAATAAAAAAATTTTTAAGTTGCCGTCAAACGGAATTCTTTCTTCAAACAATGAATTTTCTAAACATATCCGTGCCGTTCTTCAACCAATTTGGTCTAATGGTGGATCATTTACTGGCGAAAAGAAACAACAAAAAGGAGGAGAAATTTCCGGTCAATCATCATTAACTACTTCAACAAGAGCTTCTTTAGTTGAAGTAAATACACAAACTGCACCAATTCCTCCATCTCGTATTCCGGTTCCTCTCAATGGAATGTTAACAAAGCAAAACTATAACATTACCCGTAGAACGCCTAGCCCGACTAGAGATGTGTCTGTGCAAACAACAGGAAGTAAAGCAGAACAAAAGGGATTAAAAGCAGTGAAAAAGAATGGTTGGTTGGAAAAATAGGGAAAAAGGGGGGGGGCAATTTTTGGAGGGATTTTAAGCTGGAAAATTTTTATTTTTAAAGATAGACTCTAAAATTAGACCAAATTTCATCCATTTTTATTTTTCATTTAAAATAAATTTTTTAGTTAAAAAGCTTCCATTACCTCCCTTACCTGGACAGGTTGGAAAGGATTATGTTAGTCCAATTGGTAAATATTATAGACATTTGTTTAATTAAAAATCTGATTTTTTAAGATCTCGGTAATGAACGTGCTTGGCCATTAAAGACGATAAATCAGACGGATGAAGGTGGATAATTTTTTGTAAAATCTAACTAAAAATATATATTTAACTAAAATTGTGATAAGAAAAACTAGTTTATTTTTTTTTAAATATTTTGTATATTTAACTTAAAGATCGAACTTTTAAAATTGAAGGGTTGGGCTAATTGTTCTTATTGGGTAAATTATCTTTTTAGACAATAGCCTTCTAAGGTCTTTTTAGATAAGATCTGATTTTCACTATTTCTGATAGGGGGGGGGGTTCCTTTTTCTTTCTGACAATGAGATAGAAATACAGCTAAAAATCCTAGCGGGCAAAACACACTGCAGCTCCTTTTAAACAAAGCCTTGTCCTTTGAAACCTTTGTTCGATCTTTTCTATATTTTTTAAATTTGTCTTTCAAAAATTATTTTTGTTTGTACAAGATTTTTAAATTTAAATAAAACAAAAAATAAACATGTAAATTTTTAGCTAAATATTTTTTGTTAGAAAATATGAGAGATTTTATTTTTAATAATTCTCACGTCTCTTTATTTTCACTTCTTTCACACGTTATATTGTCTTCAACAACACAAGAAGTTTCTTTCAATGGAGGTGTTTCTTCTCTATCATCCTTATTTTTGTTTAACTTCTTTAAAAATATTTTTTTAATTGGGAAAATTTTTAAAGTTATTTTTTACCTCCTTTGCTTCACAATAAAAAAAGGAAGCCCGAATAAATGAAGGGTTTGGTGATTTGTTGGCAGCAGAAAATGTCCTCATTGGTGTCACATTTAAATTAACCTGACTGTTTTTGTTGATATTCTCCGTTTCCTCATCGGTTGATTCAACTTCTGGGATTGTTGTACACTCTTCCAGAACTATTTTTGGAGATAAAATTTTTATCAGTGAAAGGTGTACTATTTCAAATCGTTGAAGGCAGTTTCGGTTATAGGAAAAATAGTGGGACCACTAATTCTTCCGGGAGGATTCGAACTTGACAATGCTGACAGCTCCCACTTAAGGAAATTAATTCCATTGATTTTTTGAGAAAACTGAAACGATCAGAAGTGGAACAACACTCATGAGATCAGATAAGGATTTTCCATAATTACCAATCTCGAAGATCCAAATTAAAAAATCAAAACCTGATTTTGATGCTTTTGCACTATCCATAGACCCTAACCTTCTACCGGACAGAGTTGTGCCAAGTTTCTTTTCCTCTCTAGGAGATTCCTGAACAGGAACGAAAGGTGTGCTTGGATCATGAACTGAACGATTTGCTGCATCCGCGAATTCTTCGTCTAGATCAGAATCATAAAATGAATCATCACTTCCTGCTTCTTCTGGTGTACTACTTGTGCTGGTCATTATTTTTATTTTTTTGTATCTTAATTAAAATAGAATTTAAAAATTAATTAAAAAATATTAGGCATTGTTTAAGAACAAAGCTATTGTAAAGTTTTTGGTTTAATCCTTTATTTATCTAAAAATATTTTCTTTCTCTATATCCACAAAGTTTAAAAAAAAAATTTTTAAATCAAAAAATTAATTATTTTTCAATATCTTCACTTTCCATTAATTTCTTTTGTTTTCTTTTTAATCTTTCTACCAAAGAATTATTATCTTCCTTATCAGGTAATGAATCATTTGTTGTTGTTTCTATCCGTCTTTTTTGAGATATTTTGCCGTAAACCTTAAAAAATATTTAAAAATCGTTGAGAACAAGTAAGACGTTTTTTCAAAATTAATTTAAAAAAAATTAATTTTTAAATTCCTCCTAACCTGTCTATTAGCTAAATCCCCTCCTTTATATTGAGAATGTGTTTTATCTATCGCAAATGCACTATCATGAAAGAGAGCTGTAAACCTTTCATCTTTCTTTACTTGATGCCAATTTGCATTATCATCATTTTTTTCATTGTTCCCATCCTCTTCCTTAATAAAAAAATTTTTTTTAATTTCAAAAATTCCTTTAAAAAACCTCATTTTCTCCTTTATTTTGTCTTTTTCTTTCCTTTCTTTGTTCCAATTCTTTTTTCTTTCTTTCTGCTTTAATTTTCTTTTTTCTTTCCAAATAAATTTGAAATTTTGTTTGTTTCTTTTTTCCAACTTCTATTTCTTCATTTTCATCAGAATCTTCATTAGAATCTTCCACAATTCCATCTTTTTTATCATTTAATGACACAAACTTTTCATTAGACAAAAGTTCAGTTTCTTCCTTTTCTTCTTTATTAGAAAATTGTTTAACAGAAAACATATCTCCTTTTTCCAAAGCTGATTCTCTAGCAGCAGAAATAAGTATTTGGTAACGATTTTTCTGTGTCTCTTCATCTTCATCTGAACCAGGGGCGACTAAAGATCTAAAATGGAATTTAAAGTAGGAAATGACATAAGGGAAAGAAATTTTTTGAGGAATTCATCAAGGGCGTAGCCAGAGGAGGGAGGGCTTCTGGAGTTACGTATATCCCCCTGAAATTGGGAAAAAGAAAAAATTTTGGGAGGGAAACGATCAGAAAAATGAATTTTTTACGCATACAACCCCCAAAATTCTCAAAATTTTCGCTTGCGGCGCTAAAAAGATAAAAATATATGTACAAAATAATTTAACGTAAACGCCAAAATTTTGGCGCACATCCCATTTTAGCCTCCCTGAAATCGACCTCCTTGCTACGCCCTTGGAACTGATACCCATCGTAAAAAAATTAAAAACAAACTCAAAATCTTCCAATTTTGTTTCAGGTCCAAAAGCATTCTTCATTTTCATTTTTCTTTCCAAATCTCCTTCTTCCCAGCTAAGTTTTGGATTTGAGCATTGTAGTGGATGGGTTTTTACATTCTTTGGTTTAAATCTAGCCAAATTAATTTCTTCTTGAGTTATTCTGTCACGAAGTCTATTTTCCTTAAAAAATTTCTTTAAAATAAAATTTTCAACTAAATTACCTCAAATTCCATTTCATCTGGGATAAAACGTAAATCAAATCGAACACCACTAGATTCATATTCAACACCATCACAAGCCTCATAAATGGCGATTGCTGTTTCTAAAGTATCACAATGACAAACGGCATAATAATAACGAAGACGATCGAGTTCGTAAGCGTGAATTGCTTGACGAGTTCGCCTGAAAAATTTTTTAATTGGCAGGATAAAACACTCGTTTAACATTGAAATTTGCAACAACCGTTTATTTTTTTGAATTAGCAAAAAAGTCATTGTAAATTAAAATTTAAGGCCCCTATTTTTGTTTCTACAAGTCAAAATTTAAGAAAACCAATAAATCATGAAATTGAAATATAAAGAAAACATACTCTTCCAAATCGCTTTGATCTTTTCTTTTTGATGGCTGCACGATAATCTTTGGTCCATGTAATTTTTCATATTCTAAACGTTCTGCTCCAAAATCCGACAAATAAACGGATACTGAATGGATTACACCTGAGGACGGCTTTAGTGATTGAATGACCTTTTTAAAAATTAAAAAATTATTTCTCAAATATAAAAAAATAACAAACAATCATTAAGGCCTCTGCACTAATTTTGCTCCAATCCATATTACAAATTGCCAGACGAGTACTTGCCCATTCCACACGTCTTACTCCCTCTTCCAAGTCTGGCCCAGTATTTTCTTCATCAGAAATCTCAGATTTATCTTCTTCATCTTCACTGCTACTAGAATTAACGTCCGGTGCTTCACCTCTAGCTAAATCCAATGAAATTTGAGGCAATTCATCGTCGTCGCTTGATTCGTCATCTTCGTCGTCATCCTTCTCTTCTTGATCGCTTTCTTCCTCATCATTCTTTTCCTCGTTACTCCTGAAAATTTTGAATAATCAGGGCTGCCTCACCTCTTAGTCAAAAAAAACATTACCTATCTTTGACGTCGTCCACTCCCTCGGTATCTTCAATGTCGTTTTCCTCCTTTTCCTTATCATCTTCACTCCCATTTTCATCACTTTCCTCGCTCCCTTCACTCATTTCGTATATTCTCTTCGCAAAGTTTCCTCCTTGTCCTCTAATTGGTTTTCCTCTTTTATCCACACGAAAATCCCGATCATCGAAGCGTTTGTCAGTAAGCATGGCCTCAAAACGCTTGTCAATCTTGATTTTATTTTTCTTGATGGGCATTTCATTAAATATTGGATTTTTGGCAAGGTCAAGAAGAAGATCATCTTTGCCAGATAAGGCTGATTTTTTATTTAATTTTTTGTTTTTGGGCATTTTCTAAAATATTTTTAAAGAATCAAGAAATTGAAAGTTAAAAATATATAAATGTAACCAACAAGTCAAACAAAGAATTTTGATTAAAATTTTAAATAAACTTTATCAACAATTTAAGCAATAACAAAATACAAGACTTATCATTTGCATTCTTCATTCACGAAAGTTCCATTCCTGTAAAAAGCTTGTCTGCCAAATTCTCCGTCTTTTTCACTGAAAAAGTAATTTAAAGAATTAAAAACAAAACACAAATAAGCTAGGTCGGTGGGTGTGTTATACAATTATTTGTTTGGGACAACCAAGAGGTAATGACAGGTTTTTAAGGAAAACAAATGGAATTTTTAAATTCCCCTTATATTTCTTTCCAAAATCACCAAATAACCTCTAAAACTTGATAAAAAAAACCCATAAAAATAAAATTAATACCCATTTTCCTTCGTTGTTTCTTCCTCTTCTTTAATGCCTGTTTCATTACTTTTCCAACTTGCGCATTTCCATCTGTATTTTTCAAAACTTCAGGTGACACAAAAGCATTCTTGTCTTCACAAAATTTATTTTTATTAGAATCATCCACTTCCATTTCCCCATCATTCACTTCACTTTCGTTAATAGTTACTTCCATATTTCCATCAGAAATTGGTAAAGAAGCATCATAAGCAGAGGCAGAAACCATTCTTTGGTCAGGCATTGCTAATAAATTATAAAAATATTTTTAATAAAAAATTTATTTTCGAACTCACAATCTACTAAAACTCGAATATTTTCTTCTAAATTGTCCAAATCAAATTCCTTTACAAATTCTGACACCAACTCAGGTTGAAATTCTGAGACAATTTGTTGTTCAGGTGGTTCAGTAAAATAATGTAATTTCCCACTGTTCCAGTCATTTAAGACCTTAAAAATTTTCTTTAAATTAAAAAAATTAAAAACCTGTTTAGCAGCTGCATTCAAATCTGGCCTTCCACCTTTCTTCATACGTCCAGAACGTTTTGCAAGTAAAGCCAAAAAACTATCACAATCATCAAATTCAGGAATATTGTAATGAAGCATTAACTTAAATGTTTTATTTTAGAATTCAAAAATAAATTTTTTAACCATTTTAACAGAACAACGTCGAAGAACAGCTTTAACTGGTGTACATGGATCAGAAAGTGTTTCAACCCTGACAGCGTTTTTAAGCGCTAATTCAGCCAAATCGGAGTTTTCACCGTTCTTTTTCGACTCCAACACAACACCGGGAGAGTCAATTAAACAGATGTGTTTGTCCAGTTGAATCTCTTGCATTTGCCTAAATTTATAGGGAATTATTCTTAAAACGTGACACGCACAAGTAGGCGCGCGGCCATAACGGCGCAAAGCCATAACTTGCTGCAATATTTCTGGCAAATATCAATTTTGGTCCAATCTCTTTAGATCGTTGAGAGGAATCGTTTAATAGGTAAGATTTAGAAATCTCGAAGCAAGTTATGGCTTTGCGCCGTTATCGCGCGCCTACTTACACCCTCTTTAAACAAATCAAATTTAAAGAATTGTCTTAAAAATTCCCGAACCTTGTCAATCCTGGCGTTGCACCCGTCTGACATGAACGTTTCCTTTTTAGACTGTTTATCACACTGCTTTTTCCAACATTTGGAAACCCTAAGTGAGTTGATTTTTCACAAAAATAATTTATTTGTTTACCTATCACGCCAACACGAATAGAAGTTTTTATATCTTTAACACGGCAATAATTTCCCAAAAGTTTCATTACCAAATCAGCACCAACACATTTAGAAGAATTAGAAGCTGACAATAAATTTGAGTGAGAAAATCGGCCCTAAAATTTTTATCGAAATTATTTAAAAAAGTTTAACAATAAAAACCAATTTTTGAGTTTGTTCTTGTACTGAAGCTTTAAAAGCAATTGTTGGTAAATAATTTCGGAAATACAAAAGCCATTTCTTTACGTTCTCCTTCGGCACCAAATCAATTTTGTTTAACAGCAAAACAAGGCGTTTGCCTTTATCAATAACGAGCTTTTCAATTTTGGGGCTGCGACTTCCAATAGGATCGCGAGCATCAAGAACCTTGAAATTATAAATAATTTTTCTGAAAAAAATGGAGGTTCTTTTTAGAAATCAAAATTTGAGGATTGGATGAGAAAAAATCACTTTGCAATGAAAGAAGACGGACTTAATCCCTCACCTGTTTTCTCGGTTCCAAAAATTATAAAAAACCTCGATAAGAATATCCGCATTTTCGATTGTTTTTCGCACTTCAGAGGCATAAGTTCTCGCCGACTTTCCATCACTTTCAACAATTTCAGGCAATGAGTCAACGAGATATTGATCGTGTGCGGATTCAAAGAGTTCCTAGAAAAGGGAAAAAATAATCAAAATAATTATTTTAGGAAAATATGCCCCAAAAGAACTTATCGAAATAAAAAGGGAAAAAACTTAGAGACTAGTTTCCCAGATTTTTATTAAAATTGCCCATATCCCCTTTAAATTACCCCTAAATTTAAAAGTCGTTAAAAATCAACAAACTCGATCATTTTCAGCCTTTTTAACAAATTCTTCCAAAGACTTCTTTACTTCCTTATTCACTTGTTTTCCACTCTTTTTTAATTTTAAAGACGCTTTAACTTTAAGTTTCTTTTCTCGTGCCTCATCTTTAATTTGTTCACGTCTTGTCTCCGCTTCTTTTAATAAATCTTCTTTAAATGGACATTTGCCTGGCACTGCAATAGATTTTTCTCCTTTTCTTCCTTTCTTTTTTGCTGAGGCTAAAATTAAAAAATAACACCTGAAATTTAACCAAAAATAAACCTTTATCCAATTTTTTGATTTTCTTTGAATGTTCTCTGACTTTGCGTTGTATTTTATACTTCTTTTTGCAAGTCAAACGTCTACTGGGTTTCTCTAAAATTGTTTATGATTAAATTATTTTAAAATAGGAAAACTCACTTAAACAATATTTTGCCATTTTTCTAACTAAAAATATAAAATCTCGACACAAACCAAGAACAAGATTATAAATTTGATCAAAAATAATCTGTCAGATATTAAAACTGAATCATACATGATAAAAAATAAACAAAATAAATTAAATTTTTATCAACAAGAGCAAACAATTTATTTCAACATTTACAAAAATTAACACTGTACGGCAAATCATTGACGGGCGGTTCGCGCGGCCTCCTTGTTTACATTATTATACGTCGTGACGAGACGACTGACAGATCCACGAACACCTAATTTAAAATTTTTTTTGATTGTTAGGAAATTTTTGTAAAACTATTGCAAAAATTTTAAAATTAACCTTTCCCAAAAAAATTCCACAGAAAATAATCAAGAAAATTCCAAGCAGAATTGTTGAGCATATTGAAAATATTTTCAAAGAGAGGAGCCAGTATTTCTACCTTGGTAACATAATCATTCCTCAACTAAATAGCAAAAATTGTCAAAAAAATTAAAAAAAAACAAACATTTTTCGCTCCTGAGTAAACATCAACTTTTGGCCAACCTTGAACATCCTGCAATACAAAAATAATATATTAAAAAACATTTTTAATAAAAATCACTAAACAATCATTCAAAAACAAAAATTAGGTCCCAAGATTTTAAACTTACTGCAAGTAAAAGATCCAGTCCTCTAAGATCATTTGAAAAGTGATGAAGGCGCATATAAATATCTAAAAATTAAAATATATTTTTAGAATTCGTTTGTATCTGCCAGATACACAAATAGAAGCTGATTCTAGAGGTAAATCTGAATTAAGTTCAGCTATCCGAAGTTTTTTCATACCCCTATTTTAATGAAAAGTAACAAACCTCCAAAAATATGGGTAAATTTTGGCAAATGTTCAGCTTCCAGATTTCCAGCGCATGCAGGAGCCTTCAAACGAGTCAAGTCATCTTTGATTTGTGTAAAAATAGCAATGCATTGCGTTTTTTCCTAAATAAAAGTTTTATTAAATTATTTTTAGATCAATTTATTTTATGGTTATAAAATTTTTGGAAATAAAATTATTCCCGTATAGTGATAATTTAATTTATAATTTAACTCAACTTACAATTCTTAACTTAATTATCCAGATTTTTTGGAGTTTAAAAACGAAATAATCAAACAATCTAGAAATTCTAGTGACCGCCCATTTTTCATTGAAAGGAATAAAGTTAATTATTTCTGATAACAATTCTGCTGGCAAAAATGTTTTGTTTTTGGTTTTAGTTGAGTAAATGTTAACAATCGGTATCCATAATTCTAGGTTTGGTAGATTGTTTGTTTTTGATTTACATGATTGACATTCTCCCTGCTTACTGAACATTTTTAAACTTTTCCACTGTTGACCCTTTTCCCGCTTCTTAAATGTGAAAAGATAAAAAGAAAGCAGAAATAGTGTACAGACCCAAAACACCCTTTTGACACTAGAGTCTTAGTAGGATAAATAATTTTGGGCGTGTGTTTCTCAAAGTTCCAAACAAGTAAATTCCAAAAATTTTAAAAAGCTTCAGCATCAAGGCTGAATTAAAATTTAACGCCCCTTGTTTTTACCATACTTGTTCCCTTCCTTCACATTCCTTTTTTATAGTTCAGAATTTTCTAAAAAAATTTCTTCATTCTTTCAGACCAGGGTTGCCGCCCGAAACCCGAAACCCGAAACCCGGCCTTTTTTTGTACCCGAAACCCGATACCCGAAAAGAAAATTTTCCAACCCGAAACCCGTACCCGATATTTTTTCCAACCCGAAACCCGTGACCCGAAATTGGTTAAAACCCGAAATTTCTACCCGAAATCTTAGCCTTACCCGATTTTTTAAACTTAGAAAAATAGAAAGAAATATGTTTATTTTTTTCCAATCTATTTTATATTAGTCGGTGGTCTAATGGTTAATGTGTTAGGCTTCACCCCAGTCGTTATGTAGGTTCGATGCCTTGTCAGAAGACGAGGAATTTTCAAATTTTTCTTTCCATAAATGACTTTATTTTATGATTTATTTATTTATTTATTTATTTAAAATAAAATATTCTACATATTTTTACCCTCTAAAATTCTTAAAAAATTTTCCTTTGGCCACTAAAAAGTGAATTTTTTGCCTAAGGCCTTCCGAAATTTTCAAAAATTTCGCCTGCGGCGCTGAAATAAGAAGAAATATTGCCTACTGACCTTTAAAATTCCCAAAATTTTCGCCTGCGGCGCTGAAAACGGGAGAAAATTGAAGTATTAATGGAAATAAAGCGGAGGATATTAGTATATAGTGGGATTTTATCAAGGGACCTGTTGATTAATCCACCGATATCCTCTAAATCATTATATCTGCCTTAATCATCTGATATCATTGCCTTGCAATTAAAGGGATTTGAATATATACCAAGTGATATAGAAAGCTTGGAGGTCTTTCTTTACAATCTTTCATAATCCTATCCAACAAGTGTCAATACCAAGATATCGTTCTTAATCCCAAAATCCCAATCTCTCTTTAATCTCTTTGCCTCTCTCTATATCACACAAAATCGGGAACGAGACTATTGAGTACCGCCGATTGAGTACCGCCGTTTGAGTACCGCCGGTTGAGTACCGCCGTTTGAGTCCCTGCCCAGTTGAGTCCCGGCCGGTTGAGTCCCGCTGGTTATATATGAATAACTTTCCAACGACGGGGAAAGTTGTTCCAACTATGGGAAAGGTTGGACCAACATTGTGCAAAGTTGTTCCAACAACGGGGAAGTTGTTCCAATGTTGATGCTGGTTGTTCCAACTATTGAGAAAGTTGTTACAACTATTATGAAAGTTGCTTCGTCAACTGGGAATGTTGTTCCGACACCAGGGGATGTTGTTCCAAGAACGGGGAAAATTGTTCTAAAGACGAGAAAAGTTGTTCCAAAGTCAGGGAAAGTTGTTCCAGAGTCAGGGAATGTTGTTCCAAAGACAAAAAAATTTAACCAGCGGGACTCAACCGGCCGGGACTCAACTGGCTAGGGACTCAAACGGCGGTACTCAACCGGCGGTACTCAAACGGCGGTACTCAATCGGCGGTACTCAATAGTACCCCACCGCACAAAATCATATTATGCAACATAGCTTGTCGCCTTACAATTTAGATCACAAATACCTGACACCCGAAAATAACCCGAATTTTTCGCCAAACCCGAAACCCGTACCCGAAATTTTTGCCAACCCGAAACCCGATACCCGAAATGAAAATTTTATGACCCGAAACCCGTACCCGATATTTTTGCCAACCCGAAACCCGTGACCCGAAATGAAAACGCTCTAACCCGATACCCGAAACCCGTACCCGAAAATTTTTTGTACCCGCGGCAACCCTGTTTCAGACTTATTTTTAAAAAGACAAATGAATCGTTTAACAAAAATTCAAATTTTAAACAACATAAATGAAAGAGAATTAAAGCTTGGAATATCAGGGGATTTAGGTAAATTTTTTATTACATTTTTTTATTCTTAATTTTAAGGAAAATCATGGCATCAAAAATACAAAAATTCGGCATGGATTTATGTTGGAAATCTTCCTTATGATTTAAACGAAGGGGATATTCTTGCAGTTTTTTCACAGTTTAATTTTATTTTTTTAATTTAAAAAAAATTTTTTTTCAATTTTTAGATATGGAGAAATTGTTAATGTAAATTTGGTTAGAGACTGGAAAAGTGGGAAAAGTAAAGGATTTTGCTTCGTTTGCTATCAAGATCAACGTTCGACTGTGTTGGCTGTAGACAATTTTAATGGAATTAAATTGCTGGGAAGAGTTATTCAAGTTGACCATATGGAGGAGTATAAAGTGCCGAAATTTAGAGAAAATGTGCCAGAAGAGATACGAAAAATTTGGGAAGAGGGATGTGCTCCTAAACCTATTAATGTGCCGATAGGTATGAATTTATTTAATTTAAAAATCAAAAAAGGGAGGTGAATGTACTCATCTGCTATCTTAAAATATTTTTTAATTTTTGGAAAAAATAACTTTTGTTGGGGGTTTTCTGAACGTTATAATTAGAGAACGAGATTTACAAAAGATCCTGATCCTTGATTTTATGTAAGGGCCTTGATCAGATTCTTGACCTCGAGTCAAGGAAAAATCAAGGAACGATGAAAAATGCCTTGATCTGGACTCTGGATCCAGGAAAAATCAAGGTCTGGATCCAGCTCGCTCTTTAGTTATAATCTTTAGTAACGTAAACAAAAATGTAGGGAACAAAATTTTTTTAAATTTTATTTATGAATCCAAAATTTGATTTAAATTGTATTCAGTGACTTGGGTTAGTCGATTGGAAAAATTAAAATAATTTTTCTGTTTGAAATTATACTCAAGTAAATTGAAAAATTGAAGAATTTTCTTCAGATGGTTCCTTAGTTTTTTTCCTCCTACCTACTAAATAATATAAAACAAAATTTTCGTTTCTCTTTTCAATTAAAAAAATATATTTTTGAACACTAAAAAACACAAACTAGATCAAATTGAATTTTCTCTTAAATTTTTTGATAAATTAGAGGGTTACCTATTTTTTCCTGTTTATTTACTAGCCTAAAAATTTTCCCTAAAATTCAATTTTTAAATTAATTTTAGAAGAAATTGAAGCTGAAGTAAAGCGTGAAAAGAAGGAACACAAAAAGAAATTGAAAAAAATGGATGAATTAATTAAATTAAGTAAAGAAGAAATTAGTAAAGATTTGAAAAAAGCAAGAAAATTGCAAAAGAAGGAAGCTAAAGAATTGAAAAAAATGATGGAAAGGGAAAAAAGAAGACGTGAATTAACACCTGATGAGGAACGTGGACATGCTGATGATGAAGGGAGATGGGATTTGCATAAAAAGAATTTGGAAATTGAACAGGATATGCTTGATGTTTGTTTATTTTTATTTATTTTTTTTGGGGGAATTTTGTATCTTTGAATTTTTAGGGGGGAATTATTATTACTAGGAAAATATTTTTAAATAAATTATTTAATCAAATAAATTGGGAAACCTAGGCTCAGAGTCTCGCTTTTTTTTTATTTTATTAAATTGATCCTTTAGAATATATTTTTCGATATTCCCAAAAGTTTCGGTTGAGTCCATGATGACCCTTTCCAAATCACTAAAAGGGGAATGGCCTCTCAAATAGGGGGAATAAAGGGGACGAAAAAGTCAAAAAGGTGAAAAAACCCCCTAAAGGTGGTAAAAGGGTCACCCTGTTTTAGTCACTTCGTTGAGATTTTTTTATTTGTTTGGTTTAAAATTTTGTTGGTCATAGGGTGGGGGAAAGCTCACTAACTAATACTCTCCAATTTAATACACAACTAATTACAAGATAAAATTTTTTGGAACTTATGCAGTTTGGGTACACACCCCATTTATTCGCAAGCAAAAAATGGTCAAAGTAACCATACTGAGGTCGGAAACATGCTTGGGCATAATTACTCGCATCGTGCGGTGTTAACCAGCACATGTCTCGCAAGAGTCGGGAGCTATTTTGCTTAGTACACTGTAGTAGAGGCCTCTTGCTAGCTCGCGAATAATCGGGTTGATTAGTCAATTCGCCTGATAAATGAGGGGTATCTCGCGAATAAATGGGGTGTGTACCCAAACTGCATAAGTTCCAATTTTTTAGCCTCTAGTGGGGAGAATTTTAAATTATTTTTGCTTCTTATAATTTTTTTAAACAATTTTTTCAGGATTCCAAATTCTACGGACAAAACGATCATTTCAACTTTGGCAAAAAAAGAAAAGAGGACAAAGAACAACCAAAATACAATATTCGCCCAGACTTCGACAAGGCAGATTGGCGTGATATTGAAATATTTAAACATGCAAGAGAATATGAACGTGCAACAAAAGGGGAAAAAGAAGTACATTGGAAGGCAGAAGAACATTATGTTCCAAATCGTATTTTACCTAAAAAATAAATTTTAATTAAAAAATTTTAAAAATTAATTTTGATTTGTATAGAATTTGAATTTATATATTTGGGATAAAAATTTATATATTTGGGATAATATTCTCTCAAAATATTCTCTGCCTTTTTCTCTCAAAAATGGAGTATTTTATGCGAGAGCTTACAGTAAATTTATTGATAAACGAAAATTTTTGAAATTTATATCAAGAAATAAAGCACACTCTAATCTATCTAAAAACATTTAATTTTGAATTTTTAAGTTGAATTTGGATTTTTAGAAAATTTTAAAAGAACGGCGGGTAAGATTTTAACCCTCATCGGATGAGGGTACAAATTTTACCCCCAGCTGCGGGTTCTATTACCCAGAACCCTCATTTTTGTATAAGGGTTCTGGGTTAACCTACTAACCCCTACCTAGTTTTTTGCGTACCGCCCCTGCAGATGAGGGTCATTACAGCAAAAAATAAAGCCAAAAGCCATTCGTGTGTTCATTAACATTTTTTATTCATTTTTCCTATACATATATGTACATACAAAAAATGTGAATAGACGCTGGTCATTTTTTGACCATCCCATATTTATTAACCATTATTTTCATATTGACTTTTTAGTTACACCATTAAAACTTCTCAATTAAAAAAGAATAAGTCTTTCATAATTTACCTAAATTTAGATGAAGACAATTAATTTTAAATTTGATTGGACAATTGAAGGTCTAAAAAAGCTTCACGAGAATCTCTCTAATAACACTAGACCACTTCAATTAACAAGTAAATTTCACAAATTTTAATAAAAGATTGGACAAAATTTTTAGGTGAATCATTTTCCAGTCCAGACTTCCCAGCAGTGGTGTGGGAGTTACGTGTTGAACTTAAAAGAGGAGAAGATAATATTAATGTTTGGCTTCGTCAAATAGGGCCAAATAATTCAAAGGGTTATGGAAATACTAAATATAAAATTTATGCGGATACTTTTGCAAGGTGTGATTCTATAGTAGATATTTCTGAGTCTACACACAGATTTGAAGATAAAGAAAAGTTGGGTTTTAGAAGTGTTTCTTTAAACAAATTAATTGGTAATGGTAAGTATGTAGATAAAGAGTAGGGTTTCACCGGAAGTTCCGGTTCCGGGCCGGAACTTAGAAAAGTTTCGGTTCCGGTCAAAATTTCAGTTCCGGTGAAACCCTAATAAAGTGCTGCACGAAAATTGAATTTTGCTTTCAATTGAATGGAAACGAAAAAAGTTACATTTTTACTAAACGAAAAGAATCTCAATTTTCACGAATGAAAATCTTCGCGCAGCTCTATGTACAAAAAAGGAATAGAAAAATAAAGTTTCTGTAGTTCCAGGTAATTTATACCTTTATTGTGAAGTTGAAATTAATTGTTATGATTTGGTTGATAATTTAAAGAAAAATTACCAGAATATTTTTGAGAATGGAATATTTAGTGATTGTGTTATTAAGGTATTTTTTGAATAAAAATGTAAAAAGAATAATTAATTTATTTTGAAGGTTAGAGATGAGGTTATTAAAGCTCATCGTTGTATTTTGGCACAAAATAGTGAAGTATTTAAAAAAATGTTTGAGGAAAATGATATGCTAGATGTATCACAAAATGTACATATATTTTAAATCTAATATTAATTATTAGGGGAATATAGTACATATTATATTGATAGGAGAATGTTTGAAGCTAAATAAAAGATTAATTTCTGAAAACGCTTAAAATGGGTCCACATAACAGTAAAATACATTTTTAGCTTTATAACCAAAAATAAAAATTAATATTTCTTAAAATAATTTAGTATATACCCATAATAAAATTTATTAAAAAAATTTAGTCTGAGATAACAATTCCTGACGTCTCTCCTGATTCTGTTAGAGATATGATGGAATTTTTCTATACTGGAGAAATTAAAAGTTAAATCAACGAATAATATTTTTTAAGTCGTTATTTTAAGCCATATCGGAAATTAATGTTGATGATCTCTTCACTTTGGCACATAAATATAAAGTGGAACCGTTGAAATATGAATGCGAACATTTTTTGTCTTCAAAAATTAGCGGGGATTGGATTGGTTTTTAAATAATCTTTATTTAAAAATAAATATTCTCATTTGAATTATGACAAAATCAGAACATTTTTTAAGACTTTAGCTCTCCAAACTGTCATTTAAAATGTATTTATAAATTACATGTTCAATCTACGATACCTTAATTACTTAAAATTTAAACTTTGGTTAAGTATACCTAAAATAGAAATATATTTTTTGATTCATTAAAGATTTACGTTATAACGATATTCCAGTAGACTATTATTTTTAACCGTTTTGCTATACTCGGGGAGATTTGTTTCGAGAAGGGACGTTAAAATCATTAATTTAACTTTTGTGTCGATTTATCGGGAAATTTAGTATTGTTTCCTTATTGAATGGTCAACATTCTATTTTCCAATCCCTCCAAAAATAGGATCATTCAATTGAAGAGACTCTCTAATTTAGTAATAAAACATTTAAATTTAAGCAAAACCAAAACCAAAAATCGGACCGTCGGGAGTGCCTGTGGTTGGACATCCACCTTTTCATCCTTGCAATCCTAATCCTCCAGACCTTGGTATAAACTAATTGTTAATTTAAAATATTTTTTAAATTTTAGATGGGAAAAATATTTTAAAATATTGCAAATTTATATGTTTGTATAAAGCTGAAATTTTGGAGAAAGTAAAGGGAAATATATACTTAATTTTATTCTTAAAATTTTAATTTCAAGGCTTGTACAAATTATATTCGAGTAATTAAAAATTGGTTTTTGAAAAGTAAAGAATGGGAAGATGTTAAAAATAAATATCCAGAATTGGCTATGAAGTTTTTGGAAATTGGATATTTGGAAATTGGGAATAATACAAATAAATATTTAAATTATTCAATGTATTGATCTAAATTTAAGATTCTTTTGAATCTTTTTATTCATTGACATGACTTTTATGATTCTTTTATCAAAATAAATGTTAAACATTTTTAAACAAAATTCTACTTGATAACAATAACTCACACTTATGCTTTCCGTGAAAAATTATGTTAAAGACTTTGCCGTTCTTTTATCCAATTACCTTTAAACAATCGGAGTAGATTAGAAATAGTGTTTAGATGATTCTTTTCGAGATTGCTATCTCAAATACTCAGAAATAGGAGAATATTGGATTAGCTTAATCTTGAAGACTATTCCGAGCAAATATTCTTTTTTCTCAAAAATGGGGGAAAAATATTCTCCCAAATATTAATATTCTCTTAAACCGTCGGGAATGAAAAAATATTCTCTCAAAATATTCTCTGCCTTTTTCTCTCAAAAATGGAGTATTTTATGCGAGAGCTTACAGTAAATTTATTGATAAACGAAAATTTTTGAAATTTATATCAAGAAATAAAGCACACTCTAATCTATCTAAAAACATTTAATTTTGAATTTTTAAGTTGAATTTGGATTTTTAGAAAATTTTAAAAGAACGGCGGGTAAGATTTTAACCCTCATCGGATGAGGGTACAAATTTTACCCCCAGCTGCGGGTTCTATTACCCAGAACCCTCATTTTTGTATAAGGGTTCTGGGTTAACCTACTAACCCCTACCTAGTTTTTTGCGTACCGCCCCTGCAGATGAGGGTCATTACAGCAAAAAATAAAGCCAAAAGCCATTCGTGTGTTCATTAACATTTTTTATTCATTTTTCCTATACATATATGTACATACAAAAAATGTGAATAGACGCTGGTCATTTTTTGACCATCCCATATTTATTAACCATTATTTTCATATTGACTTTTTAGTTACACCATTAAAACTTCTCAATTAAAAAAGAATAAGTCTTTCATAATTTACCTAAATTTAGATGAAGACAATTAATTTTAAATTTGATTGGACAATTGAAGGTCTAAAAAAGCTTCACGAGAATCTCTCTAATAACACTAGACCACTTCAATTAACAAGTAAATTTCACAAATTTTAATAAAAGATTGGACAAAATTTTTAGGTGAATCATTTTCCAGTCCAGACTTCCCAGCAGTGGCATGGGAGTTACGTGTTGAACTTACTAAAGGAAGCAATAATATTAATGTTTGGCTTCGTCAATTAGGGCCAAATAATTTAAAGGGTTATGGAAATACAAAATATAAAATTTACGCGAATAATTATGATTCTGTAGTAGATATTGCTGAGTTAAGAGGGCAATTAGGTAAATGTCCAGTTGGCGGTCTACATGTCCGCAAAGAGAATCTGCTTTTTTCTTTCCTTTTCTTGCATTTTTTGCGTTGGGAGAAGTGCTCCGCTCATTTTTCCTTTTCTGCCATTTTTCCTACTCAATACAGTATGTTTTCCTGTTCATACTTGAAAAATAAAAATACCTCTAATTAGAAAAAAACATTTTACAAATGATAGATTTAGATTTACAAATAATAGATCTATGGCTTTCTAATAAGCCCAAAATAATGATCTAAAAAATTTTAAAATAATATTTAAGGAGACATAACCTGTTCTACGTTGATTTTTTTTGTTTCAGGATATCGATATTGAGTAAAGACATGGCCCAGTTTTTACATCCATCCTCCCCCTCATAGCCTGGGACCGGGTTTTCCGGGCCCGTAACCGGGTATTTTGTAAAATAAATATTTTTTTCTAATTAGAGGTATTTTTATTTTTCAAGTGTGAACAGGAAAACATACTGTATTGAGAAGGAAAAATGGCAGAAAAGGAAAAATGAGCGGAGCACTTCTCCCAACGCAAAAAATGCAAGAAAAGGAAAGAAAAAAGCAGATTCTCTTTGCGGACATGTAGACCGCCAACTGGACATTTACCGGGCAATTATTTATTCTAAAAATATTTTTATATTTTTTAAAGGTCTACACACAGATTTGAAGATCAAGAAAAGTTGGGCTGGAGAAGTATTTCTTTAAACAAATTAGTTAATAATGGTAATTAAAAGGCTGTGATAGTTAGGCAAGTAAAATTAGTGAAATAGGCGCCTAAAATAGGCACCAAAAAGCCAAAAAAGGCACAAAAATAGGCAGGTAAAAAAGGTTATCAGCCTATACACTGGTGGAAAAAAGTATTGATCCCTATATTTTTTTCTTCTTTCTTCTTTCATCTTTCATTCAAAAAATACGTTCTATATATCAATCGAAAGCTCTATCTGTATCTCAGTTGACATGTTTCTGCATTTTTCGAAATTCTGACATTTTCGAAAAATTTTCGACCGGTCTAACAGGTACTACTTTTTCAACTTTACGGAGAAATTTTTTTGAGGTCTTTAAAAAATATATGTGATTCTCCTCTAGATTCTACATACAATACAAAAAAATCAACCAAATCGGTCGAGATTCAACCGAGTTATGAATTTTTGAAAATCGAAAAAACACCATTTTTTGCCATTTTTCGTCAAAAAATGGTGTTTTTTCGATTTTCAAAAATTCATAACTCGGTTGAATCTCGACCGATTTGGTTGATTTTTTTGTATTGTATGTAGAATCTAGAGGAGAATCACATATATTTTTTAAAGACCTCAAAAAAATTTCTCCGAAAAGTTGAAAAAGTAGTACCTGTTAGACCGGTCGAAAATTTTTCGAAAATGTCAGAATTTCGAAAAATGCAGAAACATGTCAACTGAGATACAGATAGAGCTTTCGATTGATATATAGAACGTATTTTTTGAATGAAAGATGAAAGAAGAAAGAAGAAAAAAATATAGGGATCAATACTTTTTTCCACCAGTGTAAAATTATGATAAAAACAAGAAAATAACCACCTATTCGTCGTTTTTTTGACCATTTTGCCATTTATTCGTCATTTTAAATCATTTTTTGAGCAAAAATGGTGTAATTTTTTAAAAATGTCGATAATTGACAAAAAGCAAGTCTTGCCCAACCCACAAAACGTCCCACCCCAAAATGTCCCAACACCAAAACGTCTAATTTAAAAATGTCCAACGGAGTAAAAATACTTAATTTGTCGAATTATAAATTAAAATTTGGGGTTGGCACGGAT